CACACATACATATATATATATATATATATATATATATGCATATAATGCAAGTAGAGCGCCAAATCGTAAGACCGTTGACCGTTGACCGAGTTTTGTTGTACGTGTAAAGCGTCGCCGACGTGCATGCGCTGGCGAAAAAGCGAGAGTGTGCCGCTGCCGCTAGTGCTGCTCCGAGCTTGCGTAGTCGTCCTGATGCACCGAGGCGCATGCGGAAATGCAATCGACGCCGTTTGCCGTGTCGGCGAGCGCGCGCGAAGTGGGGATAATGTGTGCAACGGGTGTACGGGGCAAGCTCGGGCGCGCGCGCGCCGTGCCAGGGACTAGACGACGACGGGATGATAATCGCTGGCCGTCGACGGTAAGTTGGGTGGTGGTGGGAGAGCACAGCGTATCCTCGTCGTGCAAGCCGGAATTCGATGCACACAGACCGGTGTGTTGCCTTAGGTCAGTACAACGCCTGATTGCTTAGAAGCATTTGTTGTTTATTATTATTTAAATTTTTTTTTTATCAAGCTTCGCACACTTTTCGTTTTCGTTTTCTGTCCTGTTCGTCCGGCCGTCCGTCAACCGTCTGCAGGGTAAGCATGTATTACGCGTATTTACTTTAGAAAAATGTCGCAGTTTAACTCCGCCGTTGTCGTTTTCGTATATTACTCGGGTGTGCAATATAACTTATACGTCTCTTACACGGGAGAACGGGGCTCGTATCCTTATGCTTAGAAACACGAATCAAACTACTATACGAATAATAAAAAAACTATTCAACGTGAACGTTATTAAATATGTATGGTGAAAATCTATCGTACTTGCGAACCGTATTCAACATCAATTCGAGCACGTATTTATTCTTTACGTATGGTGTTTTGTTTTGAATTACAAAATACGCAAACCTATAGGACGTATATCTGCGGTATTATTTCCTTGTCGTTCCCATTTCACATTTGATTGTTATTATTGCGTTGGGACGCATATGAAGATCAAGTTTTGATCGCCATGAAGTGCACATCGTGTATGTGCAACGGGTAAAACGGGAGTCCCAAGGCTGCGGCCGTGAACGTCAATAATCTAGTAATTGTGTATGCCTCGCTGGGTCTATTTATATACGTATGTACCACGGAATACGTATTTGATATTTTTTTTCCGGTATGTTTCATAATATTCGTATTGTGTATGACGTCGAGAATTAATTGTTCTCTCTCTGAAATTGGATGGTTATTAAACGATGAAAATTTTAATTGCTTTTTTATATATTTACAATTTATCGTTTTTGTCTAATGCATGTGATGGTTACATTTTTGCCAATGATAATTCAGCACCAAAATAAATACGTTATTTGATCAAGAACACGTGTTATATTGCAATGATCTAAAAATATATATTATCTCGCACATTGTTCTAAAGAAAAACGAAGTTGTTTAATGAGACGTTTATGTAACGTGAAATAAATGCCAGGAAAATATACATTTCGTGTAGGTAGTTTTTTTTCCTGTGTGTACCGATATGATAATGCAATGTTTTGACTGTTTGGACGAGGAAAATTTATTAACTCTGGAAATAAATTATTTATAAGACAAAATGCTTAACTTCTTTTTGACACTTTTTTATTACGGGAGTCACGAATTATAATATAATTACCAGTTTAATAAGTATCGAAGAGTATGAAACATTTAAAAATCAACCGTATCAATTAAAATAATATCATTCATAATACAATGGAAGTGTATTGAGTTTTTATATAATTAAATAGTAGAATATTAATCAAATTTGTAATGTCTAAGTATGGAATGCATTTTTAAGCATAATTTTCCTATTGAGTAGAAATGTTTAGGGTTTTTTTTTTTTTTTTGTTCTTATAACACTTGTTGGATTTATTTAAGCTAGTATTACATATTGTTGGGAAGTAAATATTTTCACAAGAGAATCTCCGTAAAAACAATTGCATTTCGATAACTTTTCTATCGTGTGTTCTCGGAGGATTATATATATGTACTATGAAAAATATTTTATTCAATATATTACGTTATTTTTATACGTTCTGTATTTTTATAACTTATAACGCATAACGAGAATTTAAATTATTTTTTAAAAACGACATTATATCGTTTTTATCGGTCAATAAAATTTGTGCAAATTGATAAATGTATTAAGCTGATTCTAACCGTTAAAATTAATTTTTAGACAATGCAATTCTTTTCTCTATGAATACATTATAAATTTGGGTTCTGTATACTTAAGTGTCAAATTCCTGTACAAACCATAAATATTATGTATATATTTTTTATTTTGTGAAATTATTGGTACACATTTTCAGTACACCTGTTTCAACTCAAAATTATCATTTTTTATTTTTTTTTTTTTGTTATTCATCATTAAATATTAGTGCAATGTATATCACTTATAGTATGCTCAGTACGGCGTATAAAACAGCGTAAAATTATGTGTTTACGCGGTGATCTGGTATCCGAATCCATATAATAACTTTACTTATATAATTTATAATTTACTCTATATACTTTTTATACTTTATATACATTTATTTGTATAATTCATATATTAATATGAATTACATTCATCAATCCTAGGTACATCGACAAATGTAATTTTTGAAATTGTTTCATGACTCTGCAGAAGTTAATTCATTGTTATATTTATTTTAATAGATAAATTTCTCATTCAATTCCATAAAAATTATATGCCAACGTATTTACACAATAACATCAACTTAACAAATATACTTATTTAAATTTCTTTTAAAATTAATATCATAACCTTGATTCTGATAACGAGATGAAGGACATTTTATGATGGTTGTGTAAGTCTTTTACGCGATTCATATAAAATTGTAAAAATGACAAAAGTAATAAAATTGAGTAATTGAAAACTAAAAGAGCTAATATAAATAATTATTTTATCTCTTTATACGGTCGAACCACACGGAGTGAAGTGATGTATGTACAGAATAGGCCTATATGTATTGGTCTGATAATCGCTTGAACGTCCTTGACCAAAATGCACAATGCACTTTATCAGTTGGTGCATTTGCTAAGCATATACGCGTAAGACCGAGACAAATTATGATGCAATTAAATATTAGCTATATGTTCTTTAGTATTTGACAGCAATAACATTAATTACAATTATGTTCTGGTTTTAAATGCATATTTATAAGCTGATATTGATAAAAGGATAATGAACATTCGACTTTAATTCAATATATCAATCAAATTGGCGATATCATTATAGATTAGTTAGACTCTTAAGTAACACTATAAATATAAATATAAATATAATTTCAATGGAATTGAATAAAGCCATATATAATGTCAGTATGAATATATAATGTAAAAGTTAAACGCCAATAATACATTTTCAAAACATCACTGCATAGTAATACATAATTTTAATTTTAATTTTTCAATAATTGAAATGTTAAAAATCATTAATAATATTATTAACAGGAAATATATGTTAAATATTTTAATTTTTTGTATCTGTAAGTAATTAAAAATTGAGAATGGAAGTACTTAATGTTGGGATGTGTTATAATATACATAAAACGTTTTAATATTATGATACGAACTTTAAAAAAAATTTTAAATAATACGTATTGGTGTCTCGGGCACTTATTTTAAAACATCAATTAATTTTTTGATTTTGTTTGTCAAATTAAGTTAAATAATCTTGAAGTGAGTTAAACTAGATTTACCCAATTTATTTATTTTCAAATTTGAAATAATATATTTTTAGTTAAAATAAAAATGTGACAGTTAATAGTAAACTCAAGTTATAATTGTTTTATTAAAAACGAATATGTTTACCGAAGTTCATACACATTTGTTTACTAAAAAAATATATTTAAAACCACACTAATATGTTATACTCATTAATAATGATCGCACTTATCATAATTGAAATATATATAATTTTTTTTTCTTACTTAACTGTACATATAATTGCAGTAGCCAATTTATATTAATTTTCAGAATTAATAATAGTACTGTAAAATAAGGCCAAATGTGAGCTTAATCAATACAGCGAATAATGGTGGTGAATGTTAATTATTTACTTAATTAAATATTTTCAGAATAAAATAAAACAAATAACTAAATATTACTTATGATTTAATATTTCTCGATATCAACTCTTGTAATTATTTTATTTTTAGAACATTGAAAATAAATAAGCTATTAATTAATATTCTTTATGCATTCTTATTTTCATTCAATAACGATTCCTTGTAATCTTGTTCATTTCTTTTATTAACAATTTCACACAATGCGCATGTATTGACAATAATTTTTTGTATCAATTGAGGAAGTAAAATTTACCATTGTTGGGTTGTTCATTTTACAGTATAAGTAATACATTTATGTTAATGTTGAATTCTACCATAATTGTAAAAACTTCTAAGTACTTTTAGTTGAATTAAAATTTGACATATTTTTACATAATTTTTCTTAGATCGATGGAATAGTATCGGAGATTGCATTAACGTTCATATACATTTCAATATTTCATCGTACATTTTTGCTTTTAAATTTAACAATATATATTATATATGTACCGATACATTTTTTTAATTACGAAACTTGTACATGTAATTACTTCCTAGGACAAAACATTGATTACAAATTAAGTAGATTACTAAATAAAAATAAAATATTCATTTTCACAAATAATTTTTATTTTAATTATGTGATATAAGAATAAGTCATCCAAACCATTTATACATTATACTACTTTTATAAATTGCGATATGTTTATTTGAACAAAACGTTTGAGTACATACAGAATGCGTAAAGATATTTGGAATTTTTCGCTTGAGTATAAATAATTCTAATGCAGGAAACAGACTAAGTGAGCTTCAATCATTATAGCCATCTTAAAATAATTCCAGATATATATTTTAAAAATATTTGTATTGAAGAAGTCTTGCCATTCTTTTATTTGTATAGAAAATAATTTTTTAGTGTAATGGATATTTTATTTTCTGTTTACAGGTTGTTTAGTAATTGCAGACGATTTATGGAGAACTAGTTACTTTTCAACGATTTAAAATGAGACAGGTAAATTTAAATTTAGCTTGATGATAAAAATAATAGTTTTTTGTATAATTTTTAGTATTCGCTTTAGGGTTTCTTATAAACTAATATTAGTTTTCCTCTTTTTGAATATCATTTAAAAAAACAAAAGTATCTGTAAAAATATATTTATGTATTTATATATTAATATGTAGTTTTTGTATTAATTGTATAATTTAATAAATTTTATTTTATTTAAATTGAATAAAAAAAAAAAAGTACAATACTGTCGTAATTTATCATTTTTATGATATTTATGATTTTGTTTGGGTTGATATATTTTTAAAACTAATAACAAGACATTGTATTTTTATTGCACTGTATAAATATTATGTCTTTAAAATTGAATATTATTTGGAAGCTGAAATATATTATTATAAAAAATAAAAATTAATTTATCTGGCAGACTGCGATATTTTATTTTCTCGTTCTCCAGACATAGCATCATTTTATTTGCTGTAATATCGATTTTGTCTAGTCCGATGGTGGTCACCCCGGACCTCAGACAATTGTTTCATTTTTCTCGAGTCGTTATTTTTTTTTATTCGTCTGAATAAACACTGTCTCGGTATTTCTTGTTCATTACTCTTTTTTACTGCATTATCACTGCCAATCGATTTTATTCTCACACTGTCTAGAACTACATTATTGAACTTTCCGGTCCGCCATTTTGTCGGGACGGATTGACACTAGACAGCAGCCATAATCGGTTACTACTTCAGGGTTAAAGTTTAATAACCTTTTACCGAAGTATTCTAAGATTTTTCTTTTTTTCATTTTAGTTGAATACATCCAAGTATTGATGCATTACAATTATTTCCAATAGTTTAATAAACATTAAAATTAGCTCTTACTTTGAATTTAAATTTGACTTTTTTCATGTTTGTTTAAAACTATAAGGGTATTAGACAAATTTCTATTCGTATTACACCTAATCAACATGATTTGGCAAGTATCTTCTGAATCAGAAATAATATTGATATTTTCTTTGGTATATAGTTACTAACGAATGGCCTTCCAGTTGTACTAATAATATAATAGTTTTAAGGTCACATGCTATTTATAAACATATTTATGTATACATAGAATTGCATGTTGTAAGATTGTAATAGAGTATCTAAGTTCTTACTTTTGTCTTAAATGACATTTTTAAAAACTTGTTTTTAAAGATTCGCAAAATATATTTATATTTCTACTTAATGCATAAACTGCATCTTTAATTTGGCTAACGCGTCATAACGAAATACTGGCACTGAGAGTATATATATTTATGAATCCACACGATCGATAGTGCAGTTTGTAGGGCTCTCAGTTGGCACTAGTGACCCATATTCTGACTTCTCCTTGCCCCTACCCCAAGATCCTACTCATACCCAGCCCTAAATGCACCATGTCCGACCTCGGCAATTATCACGATGTATGCTATTAAAACAATGTAGTTGTCTTTTTGGCCATGTGATTCGACGAAAATGCGCGCATTCAGCTAAAAATATATCCGCCCAGAAGGCAAAATCAATAGACTCAATGACCCTGAACCAATAATGCTTTTTTATTTTTATTTTTTCGCTCTTGGGTGTATTAATTTTAATTCACGTATGTTTTTTGTCCATTCAGGAAACGCCTCCGATGGAATCGGATTTGCCATTTGACTTCAATTCTATCAAAGAAGAAGAATTTGACAAATTTGTCGACTACATTGTATTAGACCAGCCGCCAGATCCGAATAACCCAAATCGAGCGGAGAGTTCATTACCCAGAAACCTTAAACTGAAAAAAATTGGAAAGAAAGTAAATACTCAAAGACAATGGCAAATGTCTTTATTTTTATCTGTCTCTAAATGTATGCATTTTATTGTTAGATTACTGGTGTAAAGAGTGCTATATACATTCCATTGGGTACTAGATTCGGCCCATTAGTGGGTGAAGTTTGTGTCAAGGAACATGCACCAAACGGAAAAAGGAAATATTTCTGGAGGGTAAGTTTTATTAAAAATCCTTATAGCTTTTTATAATGCTTCTTAGTTAATATGTTATTGGGTTTAATGATGCTCTCTTATCTACAAATCTGTCCATACTTTTTTTTATTAGGTTCAACTCATGCTAGGTCAAGATAATTTCTGGCGGAAAATGCGCCAACAGGTAAATTGCTTTGGCTACTTTGATATCTATCTTCTGAATCAGAAAGTCAAAAAGGATTTTAAACTGGGTAATCTAGGAACATTTTTATTAGATTTCGATCTTTTTGAATTTGAAAAAATTAACTACTAACATGAAAATTATAATTTTTTTTTATTATAATGGTTATTGCTTTATCACTTACTAAGTTAAATTTATTCTATAGCAATTATTTTTTCATCCTTTAGTATTTACGTTTATATATTAATTCTTATTAGCATTATCATCGCATATTTTATACGTTTTAAGTTTTTACTTCACTTAATGAAGATCGATACAATGACTAGATTTAGTACTACACGTATCCATATAATTTAACTGTGTAATCTAAATATGATTTCAATTTCCTTAATTTCATTTTTGTTCATTTCTAAATTTTTCGTTTTATTAATAAATTGCATTACCTTAACTCTTTACTATTGACATTATTTATATAATCATTATTTGATATTCATGTGAAACAAATAAGAATAAGAAAAATATAAAGTTTCTAATTTTAAGTTCGGCAAAAAATAGAAATGGAAATCTGATTCAACATCAAATTCAAATTAAGGTTTTAACCATAGACTCACGAAATCTGTGAAAATGGTATCCGTTCTGACTCTCTGTTCTAAACTATCGCCTATTTTTCCAATTTTTTTTTTCATTTTGTTTATTTCTATTATCCATTTATTTATTATTATATACCGTTACAGATTTATAAAGAGAACAAACCGTTCTATTATATCAATACGTACGATGAAACCAAATCTAATTGGATGCGGTATGTAAGTGCTCCATATTCACCACAATCTCAGAATCTGATCGCGTGTCAATGTGGAGTAAGTTAAAATTGTATAATATAAGTATTCAATTTGATAAAATAACTCGAAAATATTTTATAAATTGAATGCAATAATTCAATTTTGTTTAAAACGTATATTAGATTATCAAATTATATTAATTAAAATTAATTATTTTGTAGACTGACATATTTTTCTATACTATACGGCCAGTTTATCCAAATGAAGAACTTCTTGTTTGGTATTGTCGTGAATTCGCTGAAAGGCTAAATTATCCATCTAGTGTCGAACAGATGATACAACGAATGCAAGGAAGTGAGTAAAATATTTTTACATGGTGCACCTTGTTTAATGTTATTGTTACACACACCGGTATGTATAAGATTTGCCTATCTAATACGCCGTGTTTGCGCTAGAATATAATTAGTCTCGTCCATTGAAATAATTATTTATTTTTTTATTTATTTAAATAAAATGAATCACGATTATCGATGTATTTTTATACATTATGTGTATGATATTCAATTTTTTAAAGTATACTCAAAATACGTAGAATTTAATCAAACATATTTAAAGAGTTGTATAATATTTTAAAGTAATAGAAAGGTATAAAAAATGATTTAGCTCAATTGAACAATCAGTTTTCGACACTTTAAACATTTTTTATTAACATATTCCTTTTCGATTAACAGAAATACAAACATCTACGTCACCGACGTTACCTATGTTAGCCGATGCTGCAGATACGGTATCATCGTCATCAACTCCTCCAACACCACCACCGCAGCCAGCTGATAGTGGTGATGTCACATTGAAAACAGTTAACCGAGTGCACTGGCAGGATGACGATATACGAAACGAATTTGACAAAGCAATGACAAATAACGCGACGTCCATGCGACGTGTAGTGATTAGCCCAGTCAAAGAATACGCCGACAATGGAAATGCTGACGTTTTGAGGTTAGACGGGTTGAGGTTGAGACCAATAGATGACGAAGGAAAGGCTCAAGGATACGCTCAATCCAATTCGGTGCGGTCTGACGAAGGGTATCACAGCCACACTTATCATGACGATGCACCCACACCACCCGAACATCTATCCGATTCTGACGATAGCTCCAACTGCATTTTGGATTACAGGTAAAAATATTAAAAATAACTCATGATAAACATGATTATTCACATCACGGTTTTTAAATTCCAATTTTTATTATTTTAGTAAGAAATCGAAATTGCCAAAACCTGATGAGGAAGCGGTTGAAGTGGAAACTAACGAGTTTCTCAAGGTGAAGATCAAACTGCGCAAAGCCTCGCAGTATAGAAAAGATTTCGACCAACCACAAAAGGAGCCAACACCTCCTCCGGCTATAGCCGAACCCGTGATTGTTGTTCGACCTCAGTCGCCCAAACAATACGCCGAACCGTCGTCATCGTCTGGTACGTCACCCGATTCCGTTGAATCGCAGCCGAAGAAACTTAAGCTCGAACCGATCGTTGCACCTCCGCCATCAGTTATATATCCATATCCCAGGGATCAGAAGTCGCTTTTAGAAAACCTGTTGCTGCAAACCAAAGAGACAAATCAATCGCCAGCGCTCACGCCGATCACGTCTATGACGCCTCCGCCGCAAATGCCAGCCGCCGATCCACCGTACATGCAGCGCTACGTTAACGCGTCGGTAAGCCCGGATTCGTCGACCAAAGTAATGTCACCGCACCTGTCACCGTTGCACCAGGCACACCGGAGCCCGCCGCCGACGATCCTCGTCTATCCCGCGCCCGCCGGTCAGCAGATCCAATACGTGCCGTACCACCATCAGACGCATCTGTTTCCGCCACAGGGCAACGGGTACCAGTGTCATTATCCCAGCAACCATCAGGTGGAATCCAGCGCCGGGAGTCCACCTGCGGGTTCGATGTCGCCGGACGACGTGTCGCCGTGCGGAAGTCCCGGGAGCACCGGCAACTCGCGCGGTTACAGGTCGCTGCCGTACCCGATCAGCAAGAAAAACGGTAAAATGCACTACGAATGCAACGTGTGCCGCAAAACCTTCGGTCAGCTGTCCAATTTGAAAGTGCACTTGAGAACGCACTCCGGTGAGAGGCCGTTCAAGTGCAAAACGTGCGGCAAGAGTTTCACACAGCTGGCCCATCTGCAAAAGCACAATTACGTGCACACCGGTAAGCATATGACAAAATGATATCGCGCGAAATCGTGTAACGGTAACCCAACAACGGTTGTAAGACGTTAACCGTAACCAATCGCAATCGATCATCACGCGGACCGCGGTTAATTCGGTTGTTTAACGTGTTTGCAGGCGAACGTCCGCACGAGTGCGATGTGTGTCAAAAACGGTTCAGCTCCACGTCCAACCTCAAGACCCATTCAAGGTTGCACACCGGCGACAAACCGTTCGTCTGCGAGGTGTGCTCGTCCACGTTCACTCAACTGGTGCATTTGAAACTGCACAAGCGCATCCACACCAACGAGAGACCGTTCACGTGCCACTGTTGCCAAAAGTCGTACATCAGCGCCAGCGGATTGAGGTCAGTATCGCTTTACCTGTGCCAACTGTGCGTTCGCGCTAGGCTTAGTTCTCCCCCCCCCCCAAGCGCGGAAACGCTAACGGTGCGTGTTTATTCTGACTCAGAACCCATTGGAAGACCACGTCGTGTAGGCCACCGTATTCGGGCGGCAAGGACGACGCGGTCGAGCAACAACGGACCAGTCCCGATTATCAAACGTATCATAACAACGGTTACGCGGGCGGCATGATGGAACAGGTGGACGACGCGAACCAAATGTACGGCGGACCCCCCCGGGTGGACAAGCACGAGGACGACGACGACGATTTGTACTCTCACTTGCGGCCGCACCACCATCAGCAAGCAATCACCGCCGTCCAACCGGAAGAGATCCAACGGCCCTCGGTCATCGAACAGAGGCACTTCATCGAGTGCACTTAAAATGCACACACAAATTCACACGAACTGCATCCCGAGACCGTACGTCGATAAAACGATTGTTGTTCCACACGGATTTAATGGGCGTCACCAATGAATTCAATGATCATTACCATTAGTGGCCTCCCCATACGAAAAGGCTAATATTTTTTAAACACGTAATTATTATTATTATTATTATTATTATTATTTTTTTTATTATTGGATGAAACTCGATAAGCTCAAAGAAGCCAAATATTTATTAATATGAAATTTCGTCAAAAAAAAATAAAAAAAATTTTTTTTTTAGAACAGAAACATAAGCTGTATTTTAATTTTTTTTTTTTTTTTATAAACTTAGCGAAATGTACTGATTGTTAATTTTGTATAGATATTTAGTTTTGTACTTTTAAAAACAGATATTAATGTAATGTTCCTAATTTTTTTTTCTCGAGTTTTTCTATTTGTGTAGACTGTAAAATGTAAAAATATAAATATTTATATTACATACATGAATATATTATACATATATGCATATTATATTGTAATAATTAATTTTATTAATATTATTTAGGTGTATTTATTGTACGATATGAACGAAGTTTTGTTGATCTCAGTTATGTTTTGTAGATAATGAATGTGTTGAATATTGGGAAGGAAATTGGTTATAATATTTTTTTTTTTGTGATTTGATAGTGAGGGCACTAGTTTTTTGAGGTTATGTTTTTTCGTTTTTAATTTTGCAAAAAAAAAATCACAGTTAAAAATAATGTTATCATTTTGCCTACATTATAAAATCTTAATTTTGTAATATTATTATAATATTATATGTGAACTGTTAATTTACTTTTTGCTATTATACATACAATATGATATAAATTATTATGTCGAATAAAATATTTTATGTGTTTTATTTTACTTTCATTATTTATAACTGATACCTAGTTACAAATAATAAACTCAATTTTTTGTCGTCAACAATAATTAATTAGAAAAATGTAGATTTTTAATTTTTAAATATTAACTATATATGAATATTTGTAGTAAAAATTGAAAAGTAGACAAAGTTTGTAATAACATTAGTACATAAAAATATACAAATGTATGTTATATATAATGCAATATATTTTTTTTTTTTTATAAAATTAGATATACCTAAAATGTAATATTAATGTAGCTCACGAAAACCCGTAACTCAGTTAATTGAAATAAAAGGTAAAAAAATAAAATATTGTGTTTCTATAGAAATAATAAAAACAATGAATTCGTTTTGGTAAATCTGTAAATGCAATTAAATTTAAAGCCTGAACCTTCTCGTTTCGGTGTATAAATACCTACAACATGTAATAGATTATCAAAATATTATTAGGTACCCCTTTTGGTCGCATATTAATTTTATTGCTAAGCTGCAGCATATTATAGCAGAATAAATACTATACAAGAAAATAAGTAACTCTACGTCTTGAGTGGGTCCATTATTTTAACACTCATTAAATTCATATTAATTCGATAAATCATATATTTTAATAATACGGATTATTTAATTTTACATTGATTATTTGTTTGATTCCTAGTTGTATACATACTTTAAATTACAGATGCAGCATACAAAATAAAACTGTCAATTTTTTAACAATTGGCCAAATAAATGTTGAATTGCTAAAATTATTGATTGTATTTTACAAAGGTTGTGTAAATATTACTACAATGGATAAACTAACAATAATTATTCATATATTTACAGTTGACAAATGTAAACATAATTTATACTCCCTTAGATTTATTCACTGCTTTTGAAAACACCAAGTGACTGTTACAAAAATAATGATATCAATAGAAATAAAAATAATAATAATATGAAATGAATAATAGTGAATATTGATCTTAATAATATATAATTATTTAATATATGCAATGTATAATTTGTATTAGATGTATAATGAATAAAAAATATAACCATTTTAATTTATATATATACTCGTATAACTAAGTATATCCCCACCCATCCGACGATCATAACAAAAACACAGAATACAGTATTACATTGATTTTATTTTTGTATTTTGTTTTTTAAATAACAAATAAATCAATAAGCTTTGTCTACTGAATATAATATAAAAATAATCACTTATAACATTATATTACATCATTTTCAGTAAGGTTTTTAAGTTTTACCACCGATGTAAATATTATTGTACGATTTTTGTTTGTTTTATGTAGATTCAAAATTGATTTTCATCGAGATTTGAAATTTTTACTTGGTACCTATCTGTTGTTAATTAAGTATAATTTTACAAATTATATAATAACAATTTTGATTCAGATACATTTTATCTACCGATGTTAAATAATGAATTGGGCCGGCAGATCATATATTTTTACCAAGTAGTTATAACTTGAAACGCCGCGAGCCACATTCCAATCAATCGGCCCAAAAATGACAGATGCAGCACATGCACTTTCTGCCGTACCCGTGAGTACGTCTGTAATTTGATTAAAATGTTCAGTAAAATAAAATATTTTGATATTATTGATATTATAGTCATATTAAAAAATAAAAGCTCTCTCTGTTCTTCCAATAACTTAAAAAAAACACTGTTTATTATATATTAAATGTTAACTTCAATCAATACTTATCATTGCGTGACTAATTTTACAAACTTTCTAAAGCTTTTCCATATTATAATTATTACAACATATTTATAAAATTATTATTCATTAAAAATTTTAAATTATAATTATGATTAAATAATAATAATAATAATAATAATAATAATAATAATAATAAATAATAATAATTGGAAAATAAATTGAAATACGGGAATTAAAAATGATAACAATCACACACCTAACCGGTTATGATAATAACATAATATACACAATAACATAATATAAAAAGTATATCATACAGACATAAAATTGTATTATTTTATATTTATGCTGAGAAATATTATATAACTGCATTATAATGATAAACAATAATACTTTCATTTCAGCTGTTAATTCTTGATCACGTTGAATTTAAACTTCATTATTTCACTTTCATCATAATATATAATATTTGCTCATTTATTTCTACAATTAGCATAATTACGTATTGATTCATTAATGATTAATTAGCCATGTTATAAAATATATACAATTAGGGAACAAAAATAAACCAGAGCATATTGTTTACATTTAAAGTGTGATTTGAAAGTAATTTGAAAATTGGAATTCCTTTTCCAGACAATTGATGAAATCAAGCTAAATACGATTTAACGTGTAATAAATTAAGCTAATTAAAATACAACAGTGCGGTCTAAATAATACCTAACAAGATTAAAGTGTCAATATTTTGGATGATTTTGAAATATTCGATTGTATAATGTTTTTAGTGTTAATTGGAAATTATCTAATCGGAAACAAGCCGAGGAAAAAAAAAGAACACTGAATTTAAAGTACACGTCTGCGTTACATTTAAACTTTTACGATAACAAACGCTGAAATGCCGTATAATTCGTCCGAGGGTGGATACGATTTTGACACGATAATGGTCAAGTATTTTGTAACGTTCTAAAAAATTATGTAGCGGACCTGTCCTCTGGGGCGTTGTTTACGGGTTATTTCTGCTTATTTCAGATCCACCCGATCCATTGTTGAAACGGACCACTTTCTAATTCACGATAACACGTTACGTTTCGACACGGGGGGGCACCCAAGTGCGGGAAGTGGGAACAGCAAAGTCGTGAACGTTATCGGTAAGCGAACCGTGCCCGGTGTGAGTTACGTATATAAATCGATGGACCGGCCGCCGATGGGCCATTCACTTACCTGCGTCTACCGCCGCGTATTACGATATATTATGCGCGTGTTCGTCTGATACTACGCGAGCAAGAGCTTTTCCTCTCGCCCCATTCAGTTGCAAACCGCGCCGGTCCAGTCGAAATGATCGCACAGGTAAGCGCGAACGTCTTTTCTTTGCAAAAGCGTTCGATTTTTTTTTTTTTTTTAATTTTCCCCTTTATTATTCTCTTTTCGACTACGGCTGTGCACCACCCACCAACGTCGCTTGGTCTAACGTTTTCTTGTTTTGCCCGCACAGTGTTTCCTAGTGGTCGCTATCGCAGCAGTTGCGATATCCGTGCCAGTCACCCAGGAAGAGTACGCCCGGTACATAGCTCAACAGCAGACCCAGAGGTTGGAAGACAAACAACCAGAAAAAGGTCAATCCAATCGCAGACCGGTGCTGTTTCAAGTCATCCCATCCGGCAACGGCGCTTACCCACAACCGGCGGCCGCACGGCCCGCTTATCAACAGCCCGCTGCGTACCAGCCTCAAGCCGCTGCGCCGCAACCGTTAGCCTATCAGCCGCAGCCCGCCTACCAGCAGTCATATCAGTCCCCGCAGTCCTATCAGCAGCCGGAAGAGTACCAACAACCGGAACAACAGTATCAGCCGGCCGTCCGGCCGCAAGCACCGCGTCCTAAGGGTGTACCCAGACCTAAGACATCTAACAGGCCTGAAAAACCGGAGGACGAAGAAAATGACAACAACGTGAGTGTTTTTTCTCGTGTTCATGATACTACATAGGTATCTTTGAAAAGAATAATATAACATTAACACGCATGTATTAACCAAAAAAGTGGAATTTACAAATCTTCTGTATTGGAGATTTTATTCAAGACATATCGATATTAGACATTTTAGTACATAAACATACATAAACTTCATTGTTTTTTTTCTAATCTATAAGTTTGATAAACAATTTCTTGTTCGCCATTTATTTTATTTTACCATTTCTGTTTTAACATTACTAATCCTTACTTCGGTTTAATAACTATATATTTTATAAAAATAAATTCATACTATGTATAAAAATTCAAATTTATTAATTTTAAAATCTACTAACAATTATTTTAATTGATTGTTGAAAATTTTCTTGGTGATTTTATATTTTAACGAGTCGATTGATAATTATATAAAAATTATAAGTTTCATATTTATTTGAATAATTATTATTGATTATTTTTATTTTATTTAATTTAAAGCATAACACTTTGATTGATTAAAATAATGAAGTTAAACTTTTTGGTATTATTTTATAAAATATTTCATAACCAATTTTTATTGATCGCTTTTAATTTTACTTGTACGATAGTTTTTGTGAGCTAATAACATGAATTTCCGTACGCAGCATCGTAAAAATCGTAGGTGTATCAATCATAAATACTCAAAGAAATAAAATTAATATATATTAATATATTTGATTTTATAAAACTAAAAAAATGTTATGTTTTGTTTTAATATTATACATACTTCAGACATACATTAATTAAATATTATTATATATTTAAATATTTTTAACTTTTAATAATAATAGATAACTGGATAGAATTATTACTAAAGTGTTGTACGAGCAATATATTATATGAGAAACATTTTTATATAATAAATTCGGTTTAAGAAATTTTCATAAAAGTAATTTTTCAATTTATATTTCATTAATCATTAAGTATGTAGCAATCATTACGGTTACTTACATAACTTTTGATCGTTATTATGTAGAATACAATATCAATCTTACATGTAAGCATAATATTATATAGTTAAATATAGTTGTTTGTATATCAAAAGTACGTAACTCACGGGGGCGGGCGAGCTAACAAAACTTGATCAAGTTACGATGTAACAAAAAACGTATCATTATATTAGAAAGTAGTTATAGGAGATCAAAATGTACTCCGTAGACGCGACCTAGTACAAACGAATATTACGAAATGTTTTTTAAAGTTTATTACAATTTATAATCGATGTGCATTATTGATAGTCAGTCGTGTGAAATGCTAAGAAGTATTGTAATAATAATATTTAAATTATTACCGGACATGCACAGGAGTTGTCACGACTTAACCCGACCGTATAACAGTTGCATAACGTCGAAGCTATAAGAAGTGGCTCGGATCTAGACAATCATTAAAGCCATAACGTGCGTGCAGCAAATGAGAAGACGTTCACTTTTGTTTCACAACAGACAAATTGTAGCAGCTAATGTGTAGGCAATGAAGAAACTTTAGAAACGCTTGCGTGTATATTGTATAATCTGACCCAATATTTACTGTTATTTCTGTTTTCAATATAAAATGAATGAAATAATTTCAAATATTTCTCGATAAAATACTAAATAGAGCAATTTAGTTTATTACTAATAAGTAATGAAATTAAAAGCATCTACTGTGCGAGATATTATTATTAAATTTATATTTTTTATTTGTATTGATTGAATTCTAATGAAAAATACCAACTAATGGTACAGTATTTCATTTAATCGTTAATTATTAAACATATTTAAAATATTGCAACTTAGATTTTAAAAACATGTTATACAGATTATTGGCTTTTATATAATCGGATTTTCACTTTATACGGTGAACTATAGTAAAATCTATTTAAGCAAAAAGACAATTAGATTATCCATTGAAATGATTAACTAGGCACCACTTATTAGACTTCAGTATGTACAGACATTTTTTTTAGTTCTATTTTGAGGACATGAAACAAATTGAAAGCTCATCTGTCTCTGGTTCTTTAAACATGTAATTTAAATAATATTTATCACAGGATTTAATAAATGTTTTGTATGTTGTTTCGTTTATAATTGTAATATACATTTTATAGGTACATATTTTTAATTGGTGATATTTAAAACTAAACTAAAGTTTAAAAATTAAAAATTAATAATTCATTCTAATCTACTTTTTTACATTTTTAATAAAACGATTTTATCTTACTTTATCACAGCCAAATGCTCAGTATCAATTTTCGTTCGACATCAGTGATGACGAGTCAACAAACTACCACAACCGCAAAGAACAAAGAGACGGTGAAAAGATTTCCGGCAGTTACAGCGTTGTAGATTCAGATGGATTTATCCGTACAGTTACATACACTGCTGATCCCGAAGAGGTATTTATATAATTAATTAAATTTATATAAAGAACTTGCTAGAGTCTTACAAAGAAATTTGTGGGAATGTATAGAAAAAATCTTAATACAACAACAATATTTGTTATTAATTATATTAAATGGAAAAATATTTAAATAGGTCATATGTGCCAATGAATAACTGATACTCACATTGTTATAGGTATATGTAATATTTTCGTAAATTAATGATTAATCAATATATTTATTATATTAAATATAAATTACACACCCATGGCCGTAGGGCATGTTTTAATGCTTTGGAGAGGCTTTAATCCTATTGTTATCTCTATCAATGTAAATACATTATCCCTTTCTTGTTTTAAATTCATTCTTGAACATTCAGCATTATCTCTGACATTATAAATAATTATATAACAAAATATATGTTATATATTGTAGTGATCAATAAATTATTTTGGCTATTTAATAAATAATAATATATAAATGTCTACTGAGCATTTTAATTTATGGAGTAAATTGCATTGTTTCATAAACTCCACATATAACAAATCGTATAAATTTATAACACCATATAACTTTATAATTTTTTATTTTAACTTAAAAATATGAATATAATTAGTCGTTTTTATAAAATTTGGTGATGAAATTAATTGACATAGAACTTTAAATGATTTAGACTTTATACTTAAATTTAATAATATTTATGGAAATGCAATTATAATTTATTTTGAAATCGATTTTCAAGACTGTGCATTTGTATAACACACAAAATATTTTATGCTCAATAGGGTTTCAAAGCTGAAGTTAGCCGAGAACCAACTAATATCCAAGTAAAGATTCCCTCTCCAGCACCACAACAAGCATCGCCAGCACCGCAATACAGATTGCCGGAAAGAAAAGCTCAGCCTCAATACATTACAGTTCAAGTACGTCATAACAAAAAAAAAAAAAAAATCAAATAAATAAAACTTAATATTTATTATTAGAATCAAAAACAAAACCTAACTAATGTTTAACTGAACAATTATAGAATCTGTTAACAAGTTAATAATATAAATAAATATATCAATCACAGGCCAGTGAACCAGAAGCTGCTGAACAACCAGCTGATCCGATTTCCGGTTATTATCGCCCTGTGCCACAACAGGTCAAGGCACCAGCTCACCGATTCGCACCTAGACCTCAACAAGCCGGCAAAGCAAACGCTTTGGGTTATGCTACCGCACCAACTAATTCACCCATCATCTACCAGGCATATCAGTAGTTAAATATTCACAAGGGTTTGCCTATATTTGGAACACACGAGCCTCAGCATCCCATCCGCAATCAGCCATCAACCCGTTCTCGCTAGGACTAATGTCAAGGCCATAAACGAAGTCGGAATGGTTTTGGTGACTCTGGCGCGGTTCCGATGATGTACTGTAATCCCATATCCTATAAGATAATGTAGCAGTGTTTCATTTTTTTTTCATTTTTTAAATTTATAGTTATATTATAATCTTTTAAAAATAAAATTTAATTGTTGTATAATATATCGTAACATACTTTGTCGTGAAATCATATGAAACCGAAGCTAACGTAGACCAATGATGAGGTGAACATTGTACACGTTTCACAGCATCCTGACAACCCTATATTATTAACGAAAGAAAAAGGCTGTTAAAATCATAATATCACGATGGTTAAAAACATGTACAAACTTCAAGCTGGAATATTGGTGTTATCAATTTTCGCATATCCCATACTCTTATTAATCCTTCGGATCCACCTGTGACTAATATGAACGGGTGAAATTGGTTCCACGAACAGCATAATATTTCTGCTTGATGAGCGTTTATTTTGACACTGGGTCGTAATGGAGAGGAACAGTCCCAAATACCCAATATTCCATCACCTTTTATTAAATGATTTAATTGTATTATCAAATTCAATGTTACAACTATTACTAGTATATTAGATACACTATGTTTTTATATAAATGTAAATGTTTTTACCTGAAACTGAAGCAAAACACGAAGACAAGAAAGGAGACCACTTTGCTTCGTAAACCAATCGGTCGTGTCCCTTATACGTCGTCAATGAACAATACTTGTTAGGGTCCCACTAATAGAAAATAACTCATAAAACGTTTGTGTTCATAATAATAACGAACTATTGATATTATTGTATATTTTCACGTACCAATTTTACTGAACAATCCCACGAAGCTGATAGTATAAAATCGTCAATTGAATTTTGACACCAATCAATACTGCACACTTCTTTTTTGTGTTCACGAAATATTCTCACTGGTTCCTGTTTAACAAGTGACGAATTAAAATTATTTCAATACTTTATGTATTATTATTATTTAATTTTTTATGTATATTACCTGTGGATGTTTATAATTCCACATTTGTATGGTTCCGTCTCCACTACCGGTAACTAATAAGCTTTTGACAGTTCTGCTCCAAACTACATCAAACAATCCATCCTCCCAAAACATATCATACTTTTTAGTTATTGAACTTTTTTTTTTGTTGTAAGATACTAAAAACAGAGTTCCTCCACCTTTAAATCCGTAATACTGTGCAGTGGCTATCGCCAGAAGGTTTGAACGATTAGGTGAAAATTTTATAGAGTAGCCATGACGATTTTGAGTTTTAAAAGTCGTCATCGGGAATTTGAATCTAAAATTGAATTAAACCATATCTTAAAATACCATAATCAAAATATATTATTATTAATCATATTGATTTGATAGACAAATTGATAATGCTAGGAATACTATTTAATTAAGTGTCTACTATACTAGTACAACTAATGTCTACTATTTATAACTATTTTTATAGATATGTGTCAGCTATTTTATTTAAACGCATCTATATTACGAATAATTTGTTTAAATTTAAATTTATTATTAATATAAATTATTTGATTATATTAATTAAAGTTAATTAATCAGTGCATCATAATAAAATAAGTACAATTGCTAATAAATTATACCAATTCACATATTTAAAATTTAAATTTAATATATTCATAATAATTTATCATATACCCAAACACCAATCTACTGAAGTGTATTATATAAATACAAAATTACAAGTGCATCTGCATTACAGTTCAGTAAAAATATTATTTTAATTTAGATTTATCTAAAATAACAATGTTGTAAGAAAAACATTTTCAATTGTTTTTAGAAATAATTAGTTTAATAATTATTGATCGTCACTTTGTGATCTACAATTTTACTACAAAAAACTTTTTGTGTGAATTTTATATTTTAATAGAAGAATCATACTTCTTAGTAAGTTAGGTTGAATTATACATGTTCTAAAGATCGCTCCACGCTACACATGTTTTACGTTTCGCGTTTCGTGTTATTTTGTATTGTATATGTTTTCGTAAACAGGAAGTTTATATCACAAGATTATAAATTAAATAAATTAGATATTAAACATTGGTAAATGGATGATATCAATTATTATTGTATGAAGTCCACCATCTTCGTGTTTATTGTTTTTTATATTTTTGCTTTATAACCGATACAATATAAATTTCACTGACAATTGATAATTCATCTTCACTATAACTATTCATTTTTATTTAAATAAAAATTAACGAACAACATATGTGTTGACATGAACTAAACGTACTAAACAACAGTTAACTGAAAACTGAACAGAACACGTGAAACATGCATAGTGTGTATAACTTATTTACGAAACACTACGAAACGGAAAACATGAAATATGAAACACGCATAGTGTGGATCGACCTTAACGTTTACAAAAAAAAATAAAAGGCTACAATTTGGGAAAATTAAAAAATTCAAATGTTTATAAATGTAAACAACTTCATTGCAATAATTTAAGCCATAACATTTCTTTAAATAAATAACAAATATCGTCAAATGGAAATTAGTTGAAATATACAATCTGAACAAAAATTAATTTTGTAATGTTTATAAATAATTTGTATGACTTTTAAGTCATTTTTATTTTCTTTTACTATAAAAAAAAAAATCATATTTAAATTTTTTAAAGAACTTTCAAACATTAATTATAAAAATTGAAAATGTTAAGAAATAATGATTAACTTTAATTAAGGAACAATTATTATTTTTTGAGTTACGATGAAAACAAAAATTTAATTTCATCAAAAACCTGTAATCCGCATCTAATAACTTTTAGTTGGTTCTTTACAATTATTAAATAAAATGTTTGGAAATTAGGAACATAACCAAATCAGAGTATGAAATAGACATCTCCTATCAAAAATCTCTTATAATTTTGAGGATCGAGGCAAAGAAATGAGCAAACCTGTTTTAAAAATCACACTTTATCCACAAAAAATCAAAACTTCAGTTAATATTACAAATTACTTTTAATACTATTATTCGCATCACTATCACCATCAAAATAACATATTATATTAGATGTTACTGAAGATTATTTTATGTTTTTAAATAAAAAGGCCTATAATACTTAAATCTTGTTGTTTTATAATTGTTGAGCTTAATAATTTTCATTGAAATATCCAATAAGAAAAACCATTTATATGTTTTTAGTTTTTAAAAAACTTAAGTTAAGTTATTTTGATATAACTTAAAAATAATAATTTTAAAGATTCATAAATTCTATTATCGAATCAAAATAAATTTCCCTCAAAACAGTTTTATATAGATCATAGAAACAATTCCAGTATCAAAAATCCTGTCAAATAAATGTCTATTTATATTTATGTTATTTTAATTTTAGTTATCAACTTCAAATTTGTTAGTCTATCATCTAGTCTAGTTTATTAAATAGGTAATTAGTTTCTGAAATTAGACTATGGCTTCATAACCTTAAATAACGACTATTAAATTGCTTTTTAAAATGAAAATACTTTATTTTGCATTATTTTATTTTAATTGCATTTTCAAAATTTCAAATATATTAAATAATACCGTTGCTTAGTTAATTCATTAATATCAAAATAATTTTATTTTTGAATAGTTCTGTTATTGTTCAGAAAATGTCATAAGTTCAATATTATACATTTACACATATAAATACATACAAATATTTTAAAAATTATAAAAATATTTATATCATTTGGGTCAACTTCTGTAAAGTATTTTAAAAAGGCTTCTTGAATAGGATAAGAAATTGAGGTATTTTAGAAAAACTTGAAGCGTTTCGAATTTTAACAAAGACATTTCGCAGGGACAAAATATTAATATATACATATATGTATATTTATATATATATATATATTTATAAACTTCCGGGACTTCATTTAATCTAATTATCTTATGACGACATAATCGTGAAAAAGAAACCCTACGCGAGAGTATTGGTACCATCGATCAACTGTTTAGTTTAACATTAGAAGGGTCACATTCAATCAGATCCTCCATTCAAGTGTTTTGTATTTTGTTAAACTTAAATTATGATACCTTTATTATTTCTTTATTTTATAGCGACGCTAAAAGTTTTTAAAAAGTCTACTCCTAATGGTATTTCTATGCTTACATAAAGAGTCTCTTAAATTTATATTACATTTATATATTTTAGGAAAAGTCACTGTTTACGTCGGTAAACGAGATTTCATTGATCACTTGGACTTTATTGATCCAATTGATGGAGTTGTTGTGGTTGAAAATGACTATTTACAAGGGCGGAAAGTTTTTGGAATGGTATAACTTATCATATTAACACGATTGGCGAAAAAATCTTTAAAATGCTTTTTTAGGTGTCTACGACTTATAGATATGGTCGAGATGAAGATGAAGTAATGGGTGTAAAATTTAGTAAAGAAATGATACTGGCAAGTAGTCAAATCGTCCCACCAATAAAACAAGTTACAGATTTAACTCCCATTCAAAAAAAATTGATAAAAAAATTTGGTAGCGGTAATGCATTTCCATTTGTGTTCAATTTTCCTCCAAATTCCCCATCTTCGGTAACCTTACAACCTGGTGATGACGATAGTGGCAAACCATTAGGAGTCGAATATAATATTCGCACTTACGTAGCTGATAGAGAAGACGAAAGAGGAAATCAAAGATCTTCCATCGAACTAGCCATCAAAAAGGTATATCTTTTTAATATTTGATTAATTTAACATAAAAATATGTAAATACTCAGTTACAATACGCTCCACCAACAAGAAGTCAAAGATTACCGAGTTCGTTAATTAGCAAAGGATTTACGTTCTCGCATGGCAAAATTAGTTTGGAAGTTACCTTGGATAGAGAAGTATATTATCACGGAGAGAAAGTTATCGCCACGGTCGTCGTAAGTAACAGCTCGAGGAAATTCGTAAAAAACATTAAGGTAATACCAAATATATATTAACATCGTTACAATTGTTAATATGACTGTTATTAACAAAAACCATTATCATGTATAGGTGTACGTAGTTCAACATACCGAAATTACAATGGTAAATGCGCAATTTTCTAAATTTGTTGCTAGTTTGGAGACCAGAGAAGGCTGTCCAATCACACCAGGAGCTGCGTTTACTAAACAATTCTATTTAGTTCCACTGGCGTCCAGCAATAAAGATAGGAGAGGCATTGCGTTGGACGGATATCTTAAGGTATTAATAAACATATATTCTGTATCATATTTTCAATTAAAATCGTATAATATTTAGGACGACGATGTTAACTTGGCGTCGTCTACCTTGACATCGGGAGGTAAAGGCCCAAGTGATCAAACTGGTATCGTTATTTCATATTCAGTCAGAGTAAAGTTGAATTGTGGTACTCTGGGGGGTGATCTTGTGACTGACGTTCCATTCAAACTGATGCACCCGAATCCAGGTAAACCGTTGTAAAAAATTTTTTTTAATACATTTAAGAACAAATCATTTTAAACTTCAGTGGCCGATGATTCTACTGCACCGTCCAAGCAACCACAAAAAGGAGTATTAAAAAAAGCAAAAAGCTCCGATAGAATGAAGTATCAAAAGAGCTTCGGAGAAGATGACGAAGATAATATAGTATTTGAAGACTTCGCAAGACTCAGGTTGGCTGACGAATAAATGAAATCCTATTAAGAATTATAACGTCTTAAAACTTTTTTGAAATGTGTTTTATATGTTAAACTTGCATTGGTAGGAAATCCAGGATATGTATAAACTCAAAATTATAATAATTATTATTATTGCAAGATTATAATAAATCAGTTCGCCGCCGTCTTCGATATAAACTGTTCTCGATACTTATACTATTTCCGATAGTGTCTAACAACCTGAAATACTGGATTCGATTCCCAGACGGATATCCCTTAACAATGCCGTCGTTCACTTTGGGGAGAACATGTCATCGGCAATAATCATTATGATGATTCCGAACCGGAATATTCAGTACTGGTTCGATTTCCGTTTTTCACACCTTTGACCCCTTACAGCTAATATTCACATACATATCCAGTTTGACCGATACCCTAAGAGGGATCAATAGCACGAACGTATATAAGTTGTAAATAAAAAATATTTTCTCAGTCAATACAGAGTACTTCTGATAAAAAAAAAAACACTCGTTAAACATGTTTTGTGTAACGAGTATAATATTGATCATGAACGGACAATAAAATAGTTCAACTTCAAATTTCTTGTGCTTATGTGTCCAAAATAATAAAATATCACCATGGATTTTCCTATAAAATATATTAGTGAGTTCTTATTTTAAATCTGTATATGACGTCTTATATAACTTATATCAAGGTTATTTTATTTTGTACATTATATATAATAAAAAATAATATAATAATAATAATTATAAATAATAAATATATAATTATAATAATAAAAATAATAATATTATAAAATGTATGATTAAAATAAGTTAAAATACCCAAAATTAGATACCACTTATACACACACGATTTAATATATATTATTTTCAAGAGAATTACTAAGAAAATAAGAACCGAAAGTCCACGTCAAGGGTAAATTAGTACTAATTATTCGCAACTAATTTGTCCACCGGCTGTTACTATTGAAATCAAGTAAAAACTCATTAAGTGTTTTGATGGATATTTTGCTAAAAAAATAACCTATTTTATTTGGTTTAATAATAACTAAATTTAAAGGCTAAATTACTTAAAATAACCATTAAACAATTAACAAATAAAAATAGTAGTATAATTTACGGACAAAGTTATTCACTTTAAATTAATTGACCAAAATGTGGTCATAATTATTTTAATTGAAAAGGTTGATAAATAATATTATATGAAGTAGAATTAACTATAAAATATATTCAACTATAAAATAAATTAATTAATGAGTTTTAGATGTTAAATAACCAGTTTATAATTTATTGTAATGTATTAAAAAACGAAATGTATAATATTATTTTTTCATTTAACTTTTAGCAAAAATATAACAGGATTTTATAATGGCGGCTTTTACCTCTTATATATAATATCTATTACAAACAGCAACATTAAATTATTTTCTCATAGGACTAAATTTAAATATTATTTTAAACTTTTTAATAAATATTTAAACTATTTACAACTTCATTTTTTCAGCTTAAAAAGTAACGTAAACAATTATTTGAAATTATAGATAAAAGCATAAAATAATCATAATAAATATTTTACTATTTTTTATATATATAAAATTGTAAGTAATTAATAAATTTACATTTGTAATTTTATATATTTACCTATGTTATGATTTCAAGTAGTATTAAATAATACATAATAATCTAAATATCTCAAATAAATTTATTATAATTTTATCCATGTATATCTGTTCACAAAATAATCTTTTAATATAGTCTTTATGATCCAATTACACGTACAAGCATAAATAATGTAACTATGATATAAATAACTAACAAAACAATTCTTGAAGAAAGGTCAATTTTTAAAGTAGAAATTCTTAGAATAGTATACGATACAATTTAAAAATGTAAAATTATCGAGAGTAGTTTAAGAACAATAATATGTTATATGTGTGCAATGAAATGTTTATAAAATGATTTTAAATATTTTAAAACGATATTTATTAATACTACGATAAATATAATAATTATTACTTACTTCAATTCAAAAATTCCATGTGTACTCTAAGGCATGTTATTAAAAACTGTTGATTTTTATTAAGGTGTGGTCTCAAAAGTCTTGAAAAATAATCCCCCACCTAAAAAAGGGTTAGTATAGTGTTGACCCAATGACCAAAGGCTGTTGAGCTCTCCGGTTAGGGTTTAGCTCCCCTCAGTGTCTGTATATAATTTATGCTCATGGGCATTTTTATAATTATGATTTACTGTTGCGCAAACCCATCAATCAACCAAGAAAACGGTCGACGATGTTGTTTAATGTTTATACAGCCGGACATTTCTCTTTCTTTATTATTATTATACACGTTTTTTTTATAACTACCGCGTGATATGGTTATTTTTTAAAACGAATTCTCACAGGATATCTCGAAGAAAGTATGACTAGGTCATTTTTTAAAAATTATAAAAGTTATAATGAAAACGTTAGTAAAAATCTTAATTCCATCGTTACTAAGACAAATATTTGTTGACATTATTTTTCTAATAATGAAGTATATTTACCTAAATAAGCTATTATAAATAATAATAGATGTTCAATGGTTAATTTTTAATAAAATTGTAATTTTGAAATGTTAATTTCAGCTTAACAAAATCTTTATTTTAAATATTAGATGTATCTAATATTAAATTAATCAAAGAAATTAAATACTTTTATTACCTTATCATAGCATCTACTAACAATATTTTATAGGTCATATATAATATTTAAATCATCATTGATAATTATTTAATTAATTAGAAAATCAAAATTAGATTACATAATGTAGTTTAAGTTTAATATACATATAACTTAAATATTTCGTAGAAATATATCGTATGTTTTATTTTTTAATAAATATTTTTAGTATTATAATTATATAGCTATGTAGTCATTAATCATTTAAATTAAAATATTTGAAATAGTATGTTTAATATATATTAGTGATGCCTAAACTTAGGTACGAGTATACACTTTTACATTGGCAAAATTCATTTGGTTTATGAGGAGGAACACAGTATTTGTAAGGTTATCGGCACATTTCGTAAAATTATTGAGAATTTAACACACTCAATATACATAGATTTTTTTTTTTTGTATTTATTCAATTAAAATGCATACATTTACAGTAATTTACATGCATTGTTCAAGATAGAGTGATCCAACCCGAAATTCGTGAGCCACGTGCAATCCTCGAAGTCTTTTTTTTTGCCCTTCTCCATAGAAGACTTATATTGAAAAAAAAATCACAATAATATTATAATAAAATCGTTAGATTGTATACTTTTTATTTTAATTGTCTATAAAACGTAGATATACGTGCAACGAGTAACGTCCAAAATCATGATTAAATTCAGCTCACCACGTATGTATGTAGGCATCGTGTTTTAAAGTAGCCATAGCAAATCTGATATCTTGTGATGGAAGATCGAGGAAGTCATTATAATTATAGATATTATTAAGTGGCCGATTATTAACTGCAGGTTTTACTGGATAAAAATATAATATATTTTTTTTTTTTTTTGTGGCACTTGGTGTTTGTATGAAAAAATAAAATTTAACAAATCCATCGTCCAAAATAAAAGCAAATATGATTTTTATGATGGATTCAGAATTGATACTATGGATGATGAGTAGAATGAAAGAAAGATTGAATATTTTTAGGAAATTGATCAAGATAAGGTGTTTGACCAGTAAAGCAGGACATGCAAATATAACGCAAGAGAGATCACAGAACTTTAATCATATACGACCCGTCGGTTGACGAACATAATGAACACTCGTACTTATGTTAGAGCGGAATCTTTATTATCCACTACTGTCCTCTACACGGATACGCGCAATATTATGAAGCACAGATACCGTTTTACCGACGACCAAAATGAAACTCGTTCGGGTACGTAAGCAGCCGTTGTACAACAACCGTCGACAGATGTCCGAAAGATTATCAATTTCATCCGTATTTTTGCTGTTGTGGTTTTCGTCCCGTAAACGCCGCCGGTGTTCACGGACTCGGGCGTCGCAGATGACGAAAGTATGTATGTAAGATGCACGGCCGGGTAAAGTAAGGTTGGATGTAGAGCGAGATCGGTGGACGGATAACGGGAAGAAAACGTGTAAGGTGTAAAACAAATTACCCGGTAACGTTGACGGTGAACGGTTACAACCCGGTAACATAATGCGTTTCTGCATGTGCACGGCGCGCCGGTGTGTCCGATGTCACGCGATTACGCGTACCGCACCGGACGACGGCCGGAAGAATAGCCCTTCCCCCCCTCCCCCGGGACGCTCTGGGAGAGCAACACACGCGCGCCCGACCCTTTTCCATTCTAATTATGCAAAGTCGACGTGAAGCGCGAAAAAACGGGGTCGGCGCTGTGCTGCGGGTCGGTGGGCGAGCACCGCGGTGTTACGGTTCCGGTGCGCGCCGGTTGTTTGGTGATTTATTACAGTGGCCGTAAACATTGAGGCTTCACGCGTTTCCCCGTTCGCGGGAAACCGGTTTCCGGCGACCGCGGTCCGCGCGCGCAAGGAGATGCCCACCATTTGTCATTATGCAGGAAAACCGGTACGGTTCACGCGGAACACCACCGCCCCGCAGCGCGGCTCGATGTGCCCGCAAACCCTCGCGGTGCTCTCGTGTGACCAACGGTCGCGAACAAAACAAGGGCCGTAAGTGCATTGTAATCTCCAAGGGAATTACCTAAGCTAGCGTAAACATTGAAAGGATTTACAAAACGATTTTATTTTTTATTTTGTTTCCATCCCGTCCCCGTATGGAGAATGGTCCTATACTATGTATTACCAACGCGATGAATGAGAAAGAAAAATAACCGAGTTCAGAACGCATAGCGGCGAACCGAATCAAGGACTTTATACGGATTAAAAAAAAAAAAAAAAAAAAAGAAAGAAAGAAAAAAAACAGAAGAACGTGATGTTTCCGCGACGTCCCGGATAGCGCGTCGCGGCCGAACAATTTATTATTCGGTCGCATCACGACTGCACCACGAGACCACGTTAAGATAAACTAATCGTTACATTTGATTCTCGGACGAGAAGGATTCATACTACAGAGTTGGGTTATAATTTTATCAATATTGTCGGCCCTCAACAATTTCGCGTACGCAATACATAATGTGTAATAAATCGATCAAACGTATCGAAATTACAATCCACGTTAACAATGTATTACACGTGTATGTACATAAAATTTAAGTTGAATAAACTATATATTTTTTAAAACAATTTTTTTTTTTTATCATACTTTGATTTAATAATGGAGTACGTTGCCATATTTTACATGTATTTTCCTTTCCACATTTTGACGGTTCACTGGTCATCTTCATAGTTATTGTTTTCGCTAGGTTTTACATTCCGTTAGATTGTATTTTCTGCAAAAACACAAGAGAAAGCTAATAATAATATTATAATAAAAGTTTCATTTACAAAACAATCATTTGGTCATGAATCAGCGGAACCCAATAAATATAAGACATCTGACCATAGGTTAGATACTGTGCCGTTACAAACACTTTTGTATTATTTTGAATGATTTTATTTTCAAACCAATTTATTAAGATTTTAACCGGGTGAAAACAATTTAAACTATAGATATCTTATTATTCACCGATTAAAGCTATAGACACTTATTTAATATATTTAATGGAATAAATACGGTGTGATATCCGTAGTTTTAAATTAAAATACGTTAAGTTACAATGGTAGAAATTTTCAAGCTCTTCGACGATTAGTTTAAATATAGAAACCGATTTTTTTTGTACTAAACAAAACACGATTCGATCTTAGAGTACCAAGTGAGTTATTATTATGTATATAACTGGGTACTCGGTATTTGTTGGCTGATCATTAATATAATTTAAATTATTGAAAAGGATATTTAATGATGAGAATCCACCAAGTGAAACTGAAATTGAGATTCTATGTACTTGATAAATTAATGACTATTGATTTAAAAACTATTTCATTCTTATAAATTAAATATAGATATATATATATGTACATAATAATACACATTTATTTATTTTATAAGATTTTTTTCGCTGATATAATAATGAATCGTATCGTATTGTAATCGTAAGTGTAATTGTATTAGAGAAAAAATGTTTTATTGGAATTAATACGGAAGCAAATTTTTATGTGAGAACTTTTTATAAGACATTTTTTCACATAATGTATAGTAAATAATGATAACAGACGACAGCAGCATACTGTTGATGTTTAGAAAGTCTAATTAAATACTGTAGCGTTAATTAATGATCAAGTTACCAATGGTCAATATTGGGGGGATTACTTTTTCACCCTTTTTGTTCCCATCAAAACCAGACCTGGACATTAGGTATTTCGCTCCCTCTTTGAGTATTTAATTAAGAGTGCTAAACTGGTTAATTGCCTTTTGTTCGTCATATATTATAGGCATATACCGATGTTTGTTTAGCGGGTAAAGGAATAATGTATCCACCACCCCAAATATGTTTATGTTAATTAGCTTATACATTACAATGCATCTTGATACCATTATAATTTATAGCTGTAAAAGATGGGTTATGTTTTCTAATACAAAAAAAAAGATAATACATAATAATATTACCACTGAAACGCAATCATAGTTGGTACATATTTTCTAACATAGATTTGTATTTAAGAAAGAAAAATTATGTAGATTTAATATCTTGTAATTTACTAAAAACGTGTGTAAAAGTATAATTTATTAAATATCATCTACTGCAGTAGCATTGTGTTTATATAATAGATATATTCAGAATACTATTACAGATGTACACAATTTCAAAACAAATGCATTATAAATGATTCTGTCTTAAATAGTTTTCAATTTATGTGTCATACACAAAGGATCATATTGTGTATACTCGTACAATCATTTGACATTATTTTACATTCTTACAGCGCAATATAAAAACGATGAGGTTAGGTTTTAAATTCAAATTTCTAACTTATACTTTTGAGGTGACACAATACGCATTTAATCGTTTTTTAGAGTTTCAACGTAAGACACATATAAAATGTAAGTAATAATAATAAATAATATATATTATATTATTATTTATTATAATATATTTATTAAAAATAAGTAAAAAAAGACGTCCACTGCGATAAATCGAAACCAATATTACATTCGTAGTAATAATATGAAGTAATGTAACTGCTGTAGTCTGCAGTGTTAGGCGTGTTAAATGTACATTTCTATAAAGAAGATACACATATTATAATGATATAACATCGGTAAATGTTAAGTTTGTATAGCAGACTTGTGACACAATCACGAACAGTCGTGTTTAAAACCTTCGGGCGATGTGCTGCGTTCATTTATCATCCTTAGTCTCGCGTATATAATATAGTCAATTTGCCGCGAGTCCGATTATAATCGTGTTTGTTATTGTAACGATCTATTGGAAAACCTTTTTTTAATGTTTTGAAACGAAGTTGGATTACCCAATCGGTAACCACACAGACTCTTTGTATAGTGATAATAACATACCATTATAATATGGTGGTAGATACAATATTATAATAGGCGTCGCAAGCGTATGGAAAACCTGTAGCGCTATTCCGTTGTGCGTATTGACACGACGATATAATGAACAACAATTACGTATTCGAAAATCGTATCTGCCCCGTTGTTATAGTTACCGAGTGGACCAACGATTGTTAATTTATTTTTTCATCGAGCCCTTGAGACGTGAAAAATAAAATCCACGGTGACCCGCAAAACGAGAAAGGTCAATTTCGAAATCACTACTCGTAAAAAATGGTGTATCGACGGTTCTGTTCCTTCGTAACGCTTACGCCTTTTTATAATACGTTACGGGGTTTATAATGACGCTATACATCAGCACCAACTAAAACCTGTCGATCCTCAGATGGTGCTAGCAGCGTTGTACGACGTGCAATATCCACGCAAACGCGTAACAATAATAATCCCTGGTGAATTCGATTTCACTCCGGCGGGGCTCCAAGGCTCGCGGTTCCGAGAACCATCGGTGCGGATGGCGACGAAAAATAATAATAACGCGTAAGGTTCTCGGCGTCGCGCACGTATATGACAATGTATACGAAAGGCGCCTGCGGCCGACGCGTGTCGGACCGTACGACCGCGACGACGTGCGCTGCAGCGCGTAACCGGTGCAGCGCGTGCGGTTTGCGGTGCACCCGGGAAAAGCGCGCCGCGAAGACGGGGGAGTTGGCGGCGGGAAAACGCGACGGGCGCTCGGACGCGTCGTCGCCGGCTCGTAACGGGAAAACGGTTTGAACGAGTATTGTTATGCGGTGCGTACGCGTAGCCGCCGCTGGGAGAGACACGCGGAAATCCGACGCGCGGCAAATCGGTAACGGATTTCTTCGATCGGTTCCGATTAGCGTTTTATCGCGCGCGCCCGACGACGGTGCACAGTCGTTCGCCGCGCCGACCACCACGTACACCAGCGGGCAGCAGAGCAGCAGCAGCAGCAGCGCGGAAGAAGAACGAAAATAAAGAAAGAAAAGAAAACCCCCCCGGAGCGAAAATGACATTCCCCGGAGCGATCGATTATCGCCATTGTTGTCTACTGTTTATACTATCGGTCAGTACATATATAAATATATATACGCAATACACGATTCCGAGTCCTATTATCGTTACCTACTGCTATTATCGTCGTCGATCAAATATCTTTCCGGCAACGGCTTTAATATGCATGTTATCGTATATGTCGTAACTTTTTGCCGCGACCATCCCAACGCGCGCGCGCGCGCATTGCGTAACAATAATTATAACCATCGTTTTTCGATTTCGTTTCAGACGACCTATTATCGCGTTACCGTTTCCATTACGGTGATCGACAATTACGGGCCCGCGGAAAAGGACCGCGCACGAGGTAAAAACAAACTGAGTACACGTAGACCGTCGTCGATTTTTTTTACCTCGCGCCGTGGCTGATCAAACGTTTAGCGAAGTAAATAATCACTGCAGTAACACCGCGAAATACGAATGTTCACAGATATCAAGGATACCGTCGACGACGCGCGTTCGGAGAAAGCGGAAGACGAGGACGCGGAAAACAAGCATTTCATGTAAGCTGGTTCGTTTATTCCGAATCAAACCTGTACAAAACATCCGGACTCCCGTGACACAATAGCGTTGTGAACAGAAGTGAAATTATTCGGTATCGTGTGTCGGATGATTAGGAAAAATAAATCCATATTGTATCTATTAACGAACACGCACAAATACCCCAGTACATATATATGATAATGTTATATTCGCCAACAACAACACAATATTATGAAATCATTATTATAGGCTTATTATACCGTGAACATTTTCGAAATGTTGACATATTGTACGTTTGATGTATGGTTATTGTGTGTTTTTTATAGTGAAATTCTTATCTTATTTGAACGATCAAGTTTTCTCCTGTATCGATCGAATCCGGATCATCGGTTTTTGTTTAATTTTCTTTCTTGTCACGTTTCAGGGACGTGTACTCGCTGCAAAGTGGTCCACAACAGTTGGAGTTTGGACACGTGTTCGAGGATCCGAACGTCTGGGAACAGAGGTACGAGAAAAAAGATTTTGACGCTCAACGGTACCAAGGAAAGGTGAGTGCTATACGGATTGGACGAAACATACGCATAAATTATAAAAACTTACCACTGTATACCGTGGCTTAACAGGTGAAATGGGGTGACAAGGACGGTGGTTACGGCGAACAATATTGGGACTTGAACCATGGTGGTGCTGGTGAATCGGCCCATGTTAGCGTGAGAATACATAAAATTTCATTAATTATTTTATTATTGTATTGAGATAACACACGTAACTATAACTTATTCGTTTAGGAAGACAACGGGCAATACGAAGAAATGAATCCACTCGAACACGCACAGGTAAACGAAAACAAACGTCTTAATTATTTTAATCAATACATTTTATACTTCATATTTGTAGCTTATAAAAGTAATATAATATCATTATACTATATTATACCTATGTACATTGATTAATTAATAAATGCAAACATTTGTTTGGATTTAGGAAAGCCGTCAAAGATCCGTAGTATACAAGCCTGCAGTGGTGATACAACTCGTGAAGAATAAATCTAAGAAACCTACAAGAAGTGTTCGAAACAATAATATAAATAGATTATTAGAACCCGCAGTTACACAATCAATGGGAACGGGAAACGCCGATAAAAAAAACGCTCCTGTATTAGTTTTCGACCTGAAAACTGGTGTGGTCATGGACGAAGCCACAGGAAATAAATTCATTTTAAAACCGATAAATAAATAATAGCAATCGACCAATAACGTTTGGAAGTAGATAATACGTATTAAAAAAAAAGTTAATAAATGTAACGTCACTGTCTTTCAAAAATAATATTTGGTTCTAATTTGTTACAACGTTAACGATGTAGTTTTTTTAAGATAAAAAAATACATATATATTATATTTAAAAATGCACACTATGCCTTATAACCACTATTTGTATTATTACATTTGTATTAAGATTTTTTTGTTGATAGCTATTAATTATACTAGACGAATAAATGAAAATTAAACTATATCGTATTGATAATTTATACGAATGCAAATAATTTTATACTTTTAAAATATCTACATTATAATAAATGCATGTATTTATGTATCTATTTTGTTTACAAAGTTTATTTTTAAAAATATGCAAGACTTTAATTAATAACTCCAAAATATATAATGATGTACTTTTATAACATTTGAATAATATAAGATAAAAATCTAGCATAAAAAAATAATAATATAAATAATAATAAATAACTATTATAAGTGCAATAAAATATTAGTATAATTTTTTTTCAAAAGTTTTCTGGGTACTTTTCGGTTATCGTACCCCAACGGTCGGCCGGCCGGCGGCGGTGACGGCCGGGAAATACCGATTCCGTTATCGTACTCCATTATATTTATATCAATATTGTCATATTTCATTGTCAAAAATATAATTTATTATAATAAAATAATATAATAATATGAAATAATATGAAAACCAAAAAAAAAAAAATGGTCTATACCGAGTTCGTCTTCACAAAATTGTGTAGATATGTCAACTCTTTAGACCACCAATAAATGAACTTAACAATTTTTAAAAACGGCAGTCTACAATTATACAATTATATAACCAAGTGTTTGTACGAATACCGGTAATATCCTTGCACTTGGAAATGTTGCATCGCCACAGAGGTTTAGACCCGTACCGTAACAACATAACGTGACCGTTTTTAAAAGTACGATTACGATGAAGCACTCCGCGGTCTTATAAAAAACGTATCGCACTTTCTTCGTCATTGCACACCGAACATAAAATATCGTGGTAGAAACGAGCCATAGTCGATTAGAGAACTGATTTTTGGCAATGAAACATGACAATATCGAGATAAATATAATGGGGTACAATAACGGAATCGGTAAATCCCGGCCGCCACCGCCGCCACCAGCTGGCCGACCGTTGGGGGTACAATAACTGAAAATTACCGTTTTCTCTTTTTGTAAATAAGTGAATTAAGAATTAAAATAAACAAATAACTTTATATGTATAAACATTTTATAAAATTTAATAATACCTTTCACCATGTTTCAATTATGAGAAAACTATTAAATAATTGGTATTGATTTCTTTGTTGAGAGCTAAAACAATTTAAATCGAATTATAGATACGTTTTCTAAACAATCGATAATCTTTCGTTTGTTTACTTTAAAATTCACCTTATAATTAGGGAATAATATATTATAATAATATTATAATTATTTTTTTTTTTTTTTATATACATATATTTTTTAATAATTCCAAGTCCTTGAATTTAGTATCAATTGAATATAAATAAATAGTTTCCTAAATTTATATTTCATAAACTTGTTTACGTATTATCATACTATAACACGCATGGTAGACGTTTTCTTCAATATTCAATTATGTTAAGATATAGTACTTACATTCCTGGTTAATTTAGTAACAAGTATTTTGTTTTAATTTTTACATGTACGGGCGGGTGTCCTTATTACAAAAACTTCAAATTGTGTATAGAAATTACAATATACAATATACAACAGAAATAATTAAAATGTTTACATTTTAAATTTAAACATTAATTAAAATAAGGACCCCTCCTCATTTGTGTGTGATAGACACTCGAATGGTTCATCTCGTAGTGTTAAAATGGAGAATATGGAAAGAAACAGTAGAACGCATAATTTTCAGTGAAACCTTAAAGCTTACCAAAGTGAGTAGGGCGGAAAAGTCAATTTTATTTTCCAATATTCCTTTCAAACTCAATGAACGCCTACGCTTCCCAAATTTAATTAGGTTGAGCTCATTCGAAACTGGGACATAGTCATGAGGATCGTAAGTTATGTTCAATAAGTAACTTGAAAATCTTAGGAACCTGCGTTGCACCCTTTCAATTTTTCTGGAATTGTCAGCAGTACCATATTCAAGAATCGGACAAACTTGAGTGCAGAAAAATGACTTAACCAAGATCAAAATCACGGATCAATCTCATAATAAAACCAAGCTTTTTACAACAGTATTACAACATGTATAACAATTATAGCCACCAATATCAAGTGAAGTATTGAATTTGTAATCAAAGTCCATAACGCTACCAGAAACATGCATTATATCTGATTAATCAAGTTAATAAGAGAAAGTAGTTGGTGAGCAAGCCCTGAAAAAAAACATTACTTTATATTTAGAAATTAAATGACAGTCCTAATTTATCACATCATAACGAGAATAAGAAGAGTTTAAATAATACATAGTATTACAATAAATATACAGTAAATAAATATTTATAATTGTGTTTTTGATAAACAAACTCTTGAACATAAATGTTTAACATTTTTCTTCGACAATGTGTATAGATTATAAATACAGTATAAGTATAAAATATTTTAGGTTGTCCAAAAATAATAATTAGTTTTCTAGTATCTATGCATGAGAAAATATTTTGAAATAAAAAAAAATGTGATTGACTATTAAATTAATCTATATAAAATATGTGTACCTAAGTATGAAGATATTTTTGTAAGTACCATTATTACGAAATGCGAGATACGAGATATTATTATATGCGAGATGAATAAACAAATTGCTAAAAAAAAGTTGAAATTAAAATATATCAAAGAATTTATATAAAAGATTTTTATATTTGGTTTAAAAGATTTTTTAACGGATTTTTAAATTAATAAATATTTGTTGAAATAAAAAAACCTTGAAAGAATTGATTATTAAGAACGAGCAATGCAAAATTGTACATGTTCAAGCCTCACAGAAGACTAGGTTTATATTACATAAGCTTCCTATGTAAAACTTCCGAGTGATTGTTATTTTTTAACGACCATTATGCATTATTATAAAAACGATCGACCATGGTTATGTTAGTTGACATTGTTCAGTGATTATGATTTAGGTGCGCGTAATAAGAATAACCGATAATGATGGGCTCTAGTTATTTTATATTACCTTATTTGATATGGTTGACACTTATAAAAAAATATGATTAATTTTGCATCAGCCCGCTTTATCTGTTTAGTTTGACTCTCTTTTCCCACCATAATATACGAGTTACTTTCACTAAAAAATTGTAATTCGTTTAACTACGGATCCAATAAATCCACGATCAAGTATGAATTTTCCACCCATGATTTTTAATAAATTGTTAGTTTTTACTATTTGGTGTATTTATAATAGATATTAAGTATGTTTTAGTATTATTCGCTTCGAATTATACAAACATTTATGAAAATGTGTAATTCTTCTAAAACTGAATAAATATAAATGTTATTTTGATAATTTTTTTTATATTTAAGTCTATATTGATATCTAAGTTTATGTTATAGTTATTTTCCAAAACATGTTTATAAAAATGTTTATTAAATGCCGTGTATTTTAATTGTATTTCAAAAATATGTTATCTTATTTAAAACTTTATTTTTGTCTTACGTATATAAAATTAATTACAATTACATTTAAGTTTAAATATACCAGCATTTTCAAAAAAAGCAGGATTTTCTGTGATGTTTTTAATATTATTATTTTTTGATCAAATTATTTTTACTCGTAGTTTCAAAAACGATTTTTACATTATTAGTATTATACTTTAGAATTTTAATGATTTTGTCAGAAATATGATTTTGATATTTCGTACTACAATAGTTAACAACATTACTTGGTGAGTTGTGTTTTATTTTTCTTTAATACGTTTATGGATTTTTTGAAATAATATTTAAATTAAAATTATTTTTACGGGCTAAATTATAGATAATATTGAGCTCGTGTTGATGTAACTATGTATATTTATTGGAACACGTTCAAGTCTATAGAGTATTGAATTAAAATATTATATTTTTTGAGAATAATAATAATTAGAATCATTTAGTATTTTAACATCAGTTTGTAGAAGTTACCTACAAATATTAAATTCAATTTTTTTTTATTTATTATGGAAATTGTAAGAACTAATTAATTTAATTTATTATTTATATATACTGCAAGTGTGAATTTAATAAGTTTAAATTTAATGAAGTTGTAAGTTTCTATTTATTTTGTTTAAATAATTAACTAAATTCTCTATTTATCTTTATGAACTTCTAAATAAAATAAACATATCATCAACATACTTATAATATTTATAATAAGCTTTTATATATGGACTATATTTTTGTTAATAATAATATTATTTTCATAATTTTTCATGTAAATTTCAGATAAAAAATCCACTCATAACTAACCTTTTTTTTCCGAATATAATATAAGATTATACTATAATAAGTTTTGATTAATAATTACATTAATTGACTGAACAATTTTTTGTATTTCGTTTTTATTGAATTTATAATTATCATGTATAAGTTTATTTTTTTAAATATTTACTGTTTCGTGTTTCGGAATAGTCATATATATATATATACACATTTAATGTCAAGAGAAATCATTTTATACCTTGCGCCGATATTAATTGTATTCATTTTTCAACAAAATCATTAGTATTTTTTATTATTAAAAATAATTTTAAAAATATTTTAAATGTATTAACCAATTTTAAATATAATATTTTATATTAATGCATTTTAATTAATAATAAATAATAATAACCAATCTTTATATTTCCTAACATATCTATGTTACTCATTTAAATAATCTCTAATGTTGAAATGAATGATATTTTTGTAAAACGACCAATTTTTCTTAATATTGACTTTGTATACACTTGATAAATTTTCAATTCGAAACCTGTTATACTTCAAAATAGTGAATAATACTCCAGACTAAATATTATATATTATTTTTTTTGTTTGTTTATTTTTATATTATATAAACTATTTGTTAATTTTTATTTTATTTTTATTATTTTATTATAAAATATATATTTTACATGTATTTTATATACACATATAGTATGTATATTAAATGCATTATGAAAATTTTAAATATGAACAATGAATTTTGACATTAGTTTGTATAAAAAAGATAAATTTATTTTTTTAGTAGTACGTATTGTTATTAAAACTGAGTAAGTTAATTTAACACCGTAATACTGGCTACTAAATTATTGTTTTTACACTGTTCACTATTCAACGTCTTAACAATTAGACCAGAAAATTTATGAAAACCATTTGACAAGAACCGGTATTATTTTTTAATTTATATTTATCATATATAAACATTTGTAGAAGGATGATTTGAAAAACATAAAATTACATAACATGAAAATTTCAAACTACTTGGAAACTTAATATTAAATGTATGAATTTATGTATATAGTATCTTACATACTTTTTCGCCTTTTCACTTGATACTAAAACAATCTAATAAATAGCTACATAATATACCACATATTATTTAACATACAATTTATTTGTCAATCAACATATTATTCTAATTTTATTAAACGTATGAAAAATATTTATTTATACAGATACATTTTTATCAACATATTTATGCATAAGTACAACTAGTAAAGAGAAAATGGGTTTTTGTAGGCTTAGCTCATTCAGTTATTTTCACTAGTTTTAGGAAACATTTATTTTTTAACAATATTATGTTAATAACATTTTATTTCCAAATAAGATGTAAAGCAAAGTATGAAAACAGATTTCGGTAAAAATTATTTGAAAAAAACTGATTAAAAAAATTCAAATCCTAACCCTCGAACAAATTTATAGAAGTGGCTAAATCAATCTCAACAAATGTTGAGCGATAGTTTTCTACTATGAGTTTCATGGAAAACTGTTCGAGGTCAACCATTAACAAGGCTGTTTAGAGTACTTATCTCTTTTAAGTATAAAAAAATATACATAAAAAAAAACTCTTTAAATATTGAATCCCTATTATATATTAATATTCTAAAAATAAATAAAATGAATAATGAATTATGAAATAATAATAAAATTGAATAATGTTTTATTAACAATTTGAAAAACACATCTTAAGTATGGTTGAGATAAAATATATTTAACAGTTTAACTATTCATGTTTTGTATGTTATTAATATTAAGTTATCTAGGACATTTTAAACTCCCTGCAAATTATAAAACTGATTAACCTTTTGATTTGATATTTATAACACTAGAAGACTTTTATTTGAAAAGCAGCTAATATTAGTAAAGATTATTATTTTTAGATTAACGAAATATAAATATTTTTAAATCAGATGTAAATAGTCAAATATCTGTTAATGTATTCAGCCTAAGTATAAATACTCGGTATTTAAAATTGTTTATAATAAATCATATAAGCTATTTATAGAGATAATATTTAAAATGTTATAGTATTATTTAAAAAAATTAAAATAGTGAAAACGTGTTTTTATCAAACTCTCAATCATTTATAAATAAATTGATTTCATTATATTATATTTTAAAAACACTATTGATTCAATTTTAGATAAGAATAAAATAGTTTTGAAGTCATGAACTTGGTATTAATGAAGAAAACCCAGTGCTATTAGGTTTTTGTATTTTATTAAATTTCTTTCCAGTAATTATAAACCAAATACTCTAAAAAATACGTAGTTTTTCCAACCTATTTTTCAAAACTTATTCAAAACAGTAAATAAAAATTATAACCACTTTCAAAATAATGTTTGATATTTCAATATTTTTTGTCTGTCTAACAATAAAATTAATACCTGAGACTACAATATGATCATTTTAGAATATATTTTTTTATTTTCTCTGTTATAGTATGTGTTTCTGAAAAAAAAAAATTATAACTATTTTGCACCACTTAAAATTTAAAATATTTAAGGAAGTATTATTATTATTATTATGTTATTTTTATGACAAAATCAAAGCTAATATTTATTGAAAAAATGTATATAATACGCATATACCTGTTATATTATATTATATAAAATAATTTATTGAAAGAAACTTTATGTTATCAACTCGGATAAAATTTAAATTCATAAATATCTTAAATCCAGTCGTCAAGTTAATATTATAATTCGTGGTCATTGGTTTAGGTGGTGGAAGCATTATATTGTAAAATAATATCATTTCTTCCAAAGTAAAATACAATATTAAAAATATATTTATTTTTAAACGTAAGACAGAGGGTAGGGGAAACAAGAGAAACCGATCTCAACGCTTCTAATAACGGCCATAATAAAAAGACAATCTGTTCGCTGTAGACACACGTCGAAGCTAGTGATCTACTGCAATACAATTAATTTATAGACACTGTTAATATAATAATTTTTTTATCCTATATTTAATTGTAAGTATTTAAATAATTTTAATTAATTTTAACAATGCAGTATGTCATCCATTGCTTGGTAAGTAAATTTAAATTGATTTTATAATTAAATAAAAAATGTAAAGTAAAAGAAATTTTACAAATCGAAAAATGCTTATCTTTTAGACATTTTTGGAGCATTTTATAAAAATAATCTTAATATTATATGGTAATCTATATTTAACTGTAATTTCTTAATCAAAGTTATTAATTCAAAATTATAAAAAAAAAAAAATTATAAACTTAATTTTTATTTCCTAGAAGTGTTGGGAAAATTGTTAAAGCTTTCTTTCCATAGTGTTAATTGCATACATATGTTATATACATAAATATTGTATTTCACAGGTAGCCGATTTGTATTGACCACTATAAATTAATTTACTAATTACTAACCACGTGAACAATTAACAAATGTATATCAAAATTATATTAATTTTGTAACATATTTGTTAATTATAAGTGATTTTAAATGAATAATTAAATTATTTGTTTTGTCTCTTAAAATTATAGTTATGGAGGATATGACTAAATAGTTTATTACATGTGAAAAATAGCTGACCGTCTTTTACTTTATTTGTGTTAAATAATTATACACACATAAAATCTGAGTCTCTTACTCCCAAAATTAAGCAATTCACACTAAATGATAAATGTAACACTAACATAAGTTATAAGTTATAAGTTTATGTGCTGTAAAATTTATAAGGAAAAAAATTAATTTTATTCGTACCTATTTATTAATATGAAACACATTATCGCCTAATGAATAGTATATATATAAATAGCCGAGATAAACGATAAAATAAAGTAACAATTGAAATACCTTTAAGCAGATCACTTCGTTGTATGTGGTTTGTTATTATGAGTTATTAAGTATATATATACCGAGCTATTAAATAAATGAAAAATTAAGTAAACTTCTAGATTTTTTTCCTTAATATTTCGCGATCCAAGTACGATATATTACTACATATGATCCGTTCACAGTGAATCAATACAAAATAGGTGTGCTCTACCAATATTTTATATTAATTAATAATTGTTTCCTCACGTATATTATTTCTACGACATTCTTTTATACCACAAAATTTTGGTCGTAATAACCAATTTCGAAATAATGTGTACCAACTGCATGTTGCACAGATATATTGGAATTAATTTATTTTTTGCGAAATAGTAAATTTTATTTTCATACAAATATATCTTAAGTATTATATTCAAGAGTTTTATTTAAATAATAAAAAGTGTTCGTTGCTCATTTTGTAATTAAGTGAAAAACTTGGTTGAATATTGTAATTTATAATTAAAATAATTAGATAAAGTGACAAAAGCAAATTTAAAATCTTGAAGAACATAAGATATTATTTTACACATAAAAAAATTTAAATTTATTTTCATTAGTTCAACTCTCTAAATAAAAATGTATAGAAATACCAATATCCTATTTATATACAGCTATAAAGTTTTATATTTCATACTTCTTTTTTGCCATCACTTGTTCTGTATATAATATTTTATATTTATTCAGAGCCATCAAATCAAAATTTGATGGAGTTCAATTTATTATATTCCATTCCATCAATATGTGTCAAATATACATTATCTTCATACACTGATATATTATTTATTCAATTATATAAGATGTAAAAGCTGAAAATACACAAATTCTGCTATAATTTGAAATTTGTCTTTCCTCATATCATACAAGTTATATGTTGTTGGTTTTTTGTCATTTGGTCACATTGATGGTACTTTCCCTCGCGTTATAACCCAATATTAGTGACGGTTTCCAGATGAAAAGAATCCGGAGACATAAAAAAAACACACGAGGTAATCAACGGACAATAAAGAAAAGTAACATGCGTTGTTTTCTTGGCCTCCTTTTCTTTTCGATCCGTTTGCGCATGTGAATTGTTACATAATCAATAACAAAACGAAAATACAAATATAAAATATAATGACAATAACGCGCAACCAAATTTTCGTCTCGTGAGTACGCATTCAAATGTCACATTTAATAAAAATCATATGTATTTTACAGGTGTTCCTCTCGACCGTATCCGTCGCGGTATTATTCGAAGTAAAAAAAGTGTACGTCATTGAACGCGATTTTAAAACAGGTATTTAAATACTTTTACCGACACAACATTATTTAGGATGTATTATGGATAATGTGGTAATCAACATAATCCCATATATTTGTTTAAACACTAATAATATCGATGAACTATTATGACTCACGAATTTAAATTATATACCAGACACATAATATTTTTTTCTTCTTTTTATACGTTGACAGAATTATTTTTGTAAAAATGTTTTTAAATTATATCACTTCCAATGTCAACAACGACCCATATTCAATCCTTTTTTAGTCAAGATACACCTCAGATACACCGCTTTATCAAACCGTCCCAGAAATAGTAAACTAAGTCGAACGTAGTTATAGGTACACTCGCATCATCACGTATTTGATGTAGTTAATTTGCACCACCTAGAATCGGGAGATGGGTATCAGGTCTTTATCGTTTTGAAAACTGGTACTTAGTAACCAGTTGGTATTAGGTAGTAGATTCCCTACTTATTGTAAACATGTGATAATATTTTGATCATTGATGGTCAAATAATATCTAAGTAGGAATGATCGAGTGGTTAAAATATGTGTTTGCACCACCTATTAAAAAGTAGTTCGACGCCATTACACGTTGTAATACTGCAGTGCTATTATAAAATGTTAGGTTACTACTTATGCAATACGCTATCACGTTATAATAAAATCGGACGTATTATACACGGTACACATGATTATAATATTATGGGGTTATCTACATTTGAAATTATAAAGGTATTGTGTGTACCAAACCCGAGTGTAACGGCGAATGTCGTTTTTGATCGTAAAATTTTGACGACCCCCATGTGTGTATGACCGTTTTGGTTTACTGAATTCATAATAATCAAACACTATTGCGCAGTAGAACGGCAATTTATCTAACTTATTCCCAGTAGTGTACCTAGTTTGGTACCTTGTCACGCACAATGGCACTGGGATAGAAAAGCAAATAAAGGGAACTTGATGAAAGGCATAGCACTTCCCCAACTCCAAAAGTTTTCACGGACGCCCTAGATAAATATTAGAACTTTATTATACTGAATATATATTAATTACGTTGTTAAAAAATTATAAAAAAAAAAAATATTACCATACAAAATGTAAAATTTATTTAGTTTTTTGTTTGTTTTTGTTTGATTTTAACATACCATTACTATATTCCAATACCATATATGTAGGTTTTTTTCTGTATTAAAATTTGCCTTTTATCTCATGTTTTATTTAATTATTTAGGTCAAGCCGTGAAACACACAATTAAAAAATTTAAATAACATTGTGCCATCTTTAATAAATATTAATTAAGTACTTTATGCGTGAATAGTTAACATATAATCAATTAAATTATTAATAATGACGAGAAAACCGATTGGGATCATAAATCCAAACAGTTGTAGTAGAATCGACTCCGATATAATATATAATCATAACAATATTTATAAAAATATTAATTTTTTTATCAATGTAAGTTGTTAATTTCTTTTCTGCCTTACTTTTTTTATTTTAATTAAAAAATATTATTATTAATAGTAGGTATATTTTCAGGTACTATTAATAGTAAAAATAAAAATAAATTTTAAATTTAGTAAAAAAAAAAAAAATTAGCGTTTCTTTATAAATTACGGCCACCATAACAGTAAAACATTCATCAATGTGTATTTATTCAGACAAAACACATAATATGACATAGATATATAAAACATAATATGTATATTATGTGTTTGTATACACATTATATATTTGTATAATGTAAATACCTCTGTTGAAAGAAATTCTGATTGCCGTGTATAAATAACTAGTTAGAGGAAACTTCTGACGAAGGTAATTTTTAAAATATTCTAAAAAGGAGACAAATTGTACTTTTTCCAACTTAAACTGTGCCGACACGCGTCAGGTCGTTACGATATAATAAAATCTTTAGTGAAGATCGTGGTAGTGAGGTGGAAGGGCGGAGAGATTACGGAAGCTTAGTCCGCTCACCGAATAATTTAAACAAAAGTATAGAATATTGTGCCAAATCATACATCTTGTAGGCTGAAACATAAAAATAAATTGTATATTATTCTTATAAATAAATATTTTATCATATTACGTTTATATAATTTGATCAATATTATAGGCTATCAAAAAATACGATTTAAGATTAAAAAAAAATGTCTCACTATGGTAAAAATGGAGATGGGAGGGGGAGCGAAGGCTCCGCTGGTCAGTTTTTAATCAAAACCTTAAACCAGACGATCACCCGCTAAAATTTCACAGGATTTCCACCTCTGAGATCGTACTCAATCCGTACATTTTTCACAGGTCAGTTGAGAGCTCGGCGGCAAAATGTGCCGGTACAGTCGCACACCATGGCACGAATCGGAGCGCTGGACCATCACCAGCAGCAGCAGCAGCAGCAGCAACTGTTCAACGTGGCCGTGTCACCACCGCCTCTGCCGTCGCTACCGACCACGGTGGTGGGTGGCCAGCAACAGCAGCAGCAGCCGTTGGACTTGGCGTCCACGGTGGACCTGACGGCCGACCAACGGCCGCCGATCGATTACCTGACGCCACCGCCGCACACCGATTTCCATACTTTTCTGCCGTCGTCCGGTACCGTGGAGTCAATGGTGCGCGCGGAATCGCATCAGTTCCATCAGAACGTAGCGACGGCACAGGCGCCACCACCACCTCCGCTCTCACCGTTGACAGCTGCTTCGTCGACGGTGCACACGTCTCCGTTCACACCCAGCGGCGGCGGCGGCGGCGGCGGTGGTGTGTTCCCGCCCGCCCAAGCGCAACCACCACCCCAGTCACTCGGTTCGCTGACCGTGCAGACGTCGTCGCCCAGCAACCAGGTGAACAGTTTAACGTTCACCAGTCCTCCGTTGGAACATTTCACGCCATACACCCCGATGCTGGTGCAAGAATCAGCTAATCATCACCACCAGCAACAGCAACAGCAGCAAGTGCAGCCTCAACCGGTGCAAAACGGCGGTCGCTGGGAACTGGGATTCGACGCCAGCGACATATTGACACCTCCGTTCACTAGCGCGTCGGAACTGCCATCCGCGAGCGGTAATGGCCAGACGTTCTTCCCGCAGGATTTCGGTCAGGAAACCGCGGGCTCGGTGCGCAATAACAAACAGTATCCGGCCGGCGGAGGGTTCTTTGGCGGCGGCGGCACTGGTAGTTTCGGCGGCAGCAGCTTTGGTGGCGGCAGCAACAGCAACAGCTTCGGCAGCAATAGTTTTGGCAGTTTCGACACCACGGTCGCGGCCAACAACAAGTTCACGCCACTAGACGCCGTCATACGTTCGTCACCGTCCAACAAGAATATCTACTGGGGCACGCCTAAGTCCGCCCAACAACAACCGCTGAGGCCACCGCCGTCGTTCCCCGAAACCAACGCGTACAGGTTCAACACCAACAACAACATCAACAACAACAACAACAACTATAACCATAATCAGTTCCTAGACTCGTACCAGATGCCGTTCACCGGTCAGTTCGACGGACCGTTGTCGCAAGGCACGGTAGCCGACCACGTGGTGCACACCTCGTTCAGGATCAAGAGGCAGCTCCGGGACAGTGAGTCCGCGGCGCTCTGGAAAACGGAAGAGGACGACGACCACGATCACTCCGACGGCGTCCGAAAACCCGTGTTCAGTTTCGTCAAGACCGACAGGAACGGCAATTTCAAATGGAGCGTCAGACACGGGTATTAGTTGTCCGCCCGTAACGGTTCAACCGTTATATATATAATATTATGTATTTGGTGTACAACACGCGTTGTGTAATTGTTTTGTATTAAACGTATTTAACCGAATGTAAACCCGTTTTCAATATGCGCTGCCCAAACGGACAATCCTAATCACGTCCACTAGGCATCACTTGCCGCACCACCGTATACGTGTTCATTCGTCGTATTATGTCGTCGTTACGTACGGATAAAAACGTTCGGGAATGAGTAGATCTTTTTTTTTTTTTTTTACCATTACCGGTCTCCAGTTTCCGCGTCAAACCGCGGCAACGGTGTCGTAGCTGTAGTGTAGTACCTGAACAGAACATTACGAATAAACAGGCGCACTGCAATATTTCTGTTTAAATTACGAATCTGTTAAGCTCACTGCTATGGCTCTAATCTACGGTCCGCCATGCTAGTTTTGAAAATACATTATTTTTCAATCTATTGAAAAAATTAATTAATGAATTAAAATAAAACGTGTGTCTATAGTGTCTTTATAGATGTTTTTTTAACAGCTATAAAAATAAACAATATATATGTATTAGAGTTATGCACGGTCTGGTCTAGATCGGTCCGGTTTTTTTCGGTTTTTGTGTTTTTCAATTTAATACGGTCTGGTTCGGTACCCTTGTCTGAAAAAAAATAAATAAATGAGTCCAATCTGGTCCGCTTTCCTTCAGTTAAATAAGATATTAATGGACTTAATTTTGAATAATTTTGAAAATATATTTTTACGTGCATACATTACATAATAAAATATTACCAAACACAGTAATATTATTATATTTTAACTCAGATCATAATCTTTTGGGAAACCAAAAGAGCTCATCGCGTTTCTGTACGGTTTTAGGTGTGATATAATATTTACTTATTATAGAATATAGATCCAGAAATAGAATTCGAGTTAATGAATATGAATTATCTGACTTCTGTATTATTTTCAAATATATCCAATATAATACGTTGTGGACAACTTTTTAATTATATGGTTTTTTATTTTATTTTGAACATTTTACGTCTTGATGTCGTGAGTAAAAATGTAAGATCATCAACAAAATTTCCATTTGGTAAATTTTTAATTGTCGGTCCGGTCTCGGTATTTTCTAGTACATTTTAAATTATACGGTCCGGTCCAGTCTGCTTTCATATTTTATTTAATCAGTCCGGTCTGGTATTGGTCTAAGTTAAAATGTATCAGTCCAGTCCGATCTTTAAAATAGTGTGTGATTGTGCAGAGCTCTAATATACATATACTATGTATATTTTTAAGCCCCTCTGTCCCTGCTTAAATAATTTTAGCCAGCGACGCCCGCAGTGTATCTCAGATTTTATACATCGTACATTTTTTTTTGAGATTCTTGCGCTTAAGTATGAAACTATGTATATCTGTACATCCGTCTGTACATACAGATATCCGTCTGATTCGACTGAGATTATATCAAATAGTATGAATTTCTGTGTTAGTTATATTATCTACATATGCGCTTCCCCATTAGGTAATATATGTGCATTCGAATGTTGTAACATACGTTCGCTCGTCAACACGTTTCGGCGAAAGAATATATATTGTGAGCGACCCGTATTTATTACATACATAAATTTCATATATATTTCATTGTTCAACTCTACACTTTATTGAACTGCGAAAAAAAATACGAGTTAAGCACCGACCAGAACCATTTGTTATACGTTCTAAAGGGTTTTTCAATGGCACGTGATGTGTTTGCGATAAGTGATTTATTGACTCGTGTACTTCATGGAGTCCGACGAAACGAGAAAGAAACGGAAAACATTACACACGAACTACGCACTTAAAATGTGCGATAACTTCAAGCGGAATTATAAACGGAATTTTATAGGTACTTTTAATTAATATCTTACATTTGATAATTAATACATTACACTTAAATTAACTGCATTTTCTACTCTCCGCGTGAGATGAAAAAAAAATAATATTAATTTTTAACTGTGTACATTTTTAAGGTGTTGTCGATGATTTAAAACCGTTGGATTTATCCGTAAGAAGTGCCTTGACACGTCATGCCAAGTCGAAAAAACCGTATAAATTATTCTGCGAAGTTTGCTCTAAGGGTTTTGATCGGCCGTCGCTTTTAAAAAGACACATAAGAACCCACACGGGTGAGATGAATTGACTTATTATTTTTAATGATATTAATTTATACGGTAGCTGGTTCAACTATATATTACAATTTACACTGGGCTACTTGAAGATTTTTCATAATGATATTTTATGAAACAGTATATATTTCGGAAAAAAGTTAATATTTAATTTTTTGATCTTTACATACTCCTTAAGAACCATGACACCCTTAGAATTTATATGAAAAATAATTTTGATTAGATTTTAGCAATACGAATGTCATATTATTATTATTATTTAAACGACATAATTTTCAAAATCTTAATTTTCGTTATAAAAAAATGTATAAAGAATCCTATTTAACATCTTTTTAAATAGTAATTATATAAGTATTGTCGATTAAAAAAATGCAATGAAATTTCAGTATGTTAAAATCGTAATTTTATTCAAATATAACTATTAATGAATTTACCTTACTCTTACTCAAATATAACTGTTAGGGTCCTCTTGCTTCTTGCATACTCTAAATCAGCGATTCTCAAACTGGGGGGTCGCCAATATATAAAATAACTAGCAAGGTGTTCTTGTAAATATCATCATGATAATCATTGTTGAGAATTACAATTGATAAAAGTTTAGAATTGCTAATAAAAACTTAAGTGAATATAAAATCATAGTAATTTATCACTAATTTTTAATATTATCATAGTAAAAGTGTCACTCAAAATCTTAGTGACATGACAGGGAGTTGGAGCCTCAAAAATACTGAGAACCGCTGCTCTAGATTAGTATTGACTTGAATGAATATATTTTATTTTTTTATAAAAAAAAAAAAAAAAAATGTGCTAATTATTATATTGCACAACCAAAAATATTGTTCAATTTTTCAAAATTCATAAGTTCACTCTGTAATTTATGAGAGTACGAACTTAAGATATAACATATCCTACATAGTAATTACTAATTTTTTAATTAGGATGAATTAAATTAATACAATCATATTTTTTACAATAGGTTTTATTCTGAAACTTTTTATAATAATTTCAAACAATAATAAAAATAACAGAAAAACATGTACTTATCATTTCTTATTAAAATAAAAATAAATTCACTTATAATCCTGATATTTAAGAATACAATATAAATAATATAATATTTCTACATTAATATATTATTATCTATTCTCAAATTAAAAAAAAAAAATATTATCTCTTTTTTTTTTATAGTATTACAAGCCATTAGGGCTTTACTGTCATAATTAAATTTTTCCACTCCTCTAAATTAAACGCATGGTTCATGTCTCCATTCTACTCTGGTCTCAGCTCCTGAATATCTTTTTTGATTACATTTAAATACTGTTGCTTAAGTAATTTTTATTTTTTTTCAAAAAAAATATTATTCATCTAAATCAAATTAATAAAAAGCTCATAACTCATATACACATTATAGGATCATACAAATGTGACACTTGTAATTATTAATATTTAATAGTCATTAAAAAAAAATCATATAACATAATGTTTTTGTCTTCTATGCTGTTTCAAGGAGAACGACCTCACGCATGTACACAGTGCAACAAGGCATTTTCTACATCCAGTGCATTGAATACACATAAACGCATACATAGCGGAGAACGACCACATGCATGTCCAATATGTGGTAAGACGTTCACAGCCAGTTCAAATCTCTATTACCACAGAATGACTCACTCCAAAGTAAACAATCTTCTAACAAAGAAAGAAGTAATCCAACTATTAATAATAGAGAGTAATTATTTCAGGTTAAGCCACATAAATGTAACACATGTGACAAATCATACCCAACACCAGGAAACTTGCGGGCACATATGTCATCACACTCTGGAGAATGGACGTACTATTGCAACTCCTGTAATCGCGGTTTCAGTAAGAAAATAAACTTAGAACGGCATGACAAGACATGCCGCAAACATGTGATGAAAACATTATCATCTCTTCAATAATTATCACTTTTTAGCATTAATAACAAAATATTATATTTTTATTTAGTCTTTAACATCAAGTTTTATTTTTTTACAAGAGTTTTCATCTTCATCTGTTGTCAATAAGTTTCGTTTGCTAATTGACGTTTTGCATAATGATGCTTGAGCATGTGATGAGGTATCTTGTTTAGTAATCTCCCGAACAACCATCGTAGCGTAATTGGATGGTTTCAAAGAGAACTCAATCAAAAGTGATTTAAAAGAACCGCCTAAAAAAAAAAAAAAAATTATGAAGGGAAAATACAATGTAAAACCTAATATTTATTATTAGGATTATTATTAATATTTATTTATTATTTCCAATAAACCTAAGATTTACTCTTCCTAAAACAAAATTTTTTAAGTAGCAAAAACATATTTAATCTTTATCATAGTAGTATTATTATTTAATTTATGTTAAAATATATTTATTATTTATTTATCATATACCAGGTACAGAATGGAATGGTTGTTTATTATTCATTATTTCAATGTCTGATAACAGCAAATCATCGTTTAAGTCATCATGATTTACAGTAGACCATACTATATCTTCTGCTTTAGATATAATAGCTCTATAAGTTCCTTTTAAAGAAAACAATCTGAAATTAAACACATAATATAAATACATAATATTTTTTAAGTTATAGCATTCTTAAAAAATAAAACATACTTATTTTTTTTCATTAGTTTTTCTGATGTCAAATTATCCTTGGCTAAAAGATCTATATACCATTTCCCAATTTCATTTTCAGGATATCGAACATCACAACCAGGTAATGGATATACAACATCAAAAATAGTATACTTTGATAAACTTTCTTCTGATATTATTTCAACTTCAGGACATTTTCCATTGCTTAAATCATTGTTTTCTTCTTTAATTTCTTCTTCATCAATAATTTCAATGAGGGCTTCTTTTGCATCATTGTCCTTGAATACCAAATCTCCAACTATTGGTTTTAAACCATATTTTCTTATACGTTGAGACACAATAGTATTCCACAATAAACTCTGATAGGAGTGAAGATACAACAGCACCAAATTCCTTGGAATCTATAATATTTTAATAAATTAAAAATGCATAACTGAAGAATACAATAACTATCATACAATTTGAAAAGCATTAACATAAGCTTTGGGACCATTAAATGCCAACGATCGTATAATTTTAGCCTCAACTGTAAAATTTTTCTTCGATAATTGTTTTAAAGCCATTTTGGGATCTCTTGTCTCCCACCAAACTGACCTGGCACGATCAGTATCAGTTTCAAAGGCACTTTCCATAGGTCTAGGTTTCAAAATATGCTCAATAGCCTCAAAAAAAAAAAAAAATAAATAAATAAATATATTAAAATTCATTATTAAAATAATCTTAAGATAGAAATAGAAATTTTAAAGAAATATTTACTTCTTCGCAGTTACCACAAGCCAATGATTTTCCAACAACATAAGTCGGAGATACTAATGAACTACCAAATCTTTGTAATCCATAATAATTAACAAATCCATGTATTTTTAACATTTCAATAGAATTAGATACCTCTTCATCGCTTCCTTTAATATTTCTAAAAAACAAATTATTAAAACCAATAATCAGAATTAAGTATTCTTGTTATCTCTAACTTTTAAAATGTACTACCTACTATTACAGGTGTTACATTTATTTTTTTGATTTTAGAATTTCTAAGTTAAGTAAATAATCAAATATACAAATTTACTTAAGACTTATATAAATTAGAAATTGTTAAAAATTAAATTATCATATAATGATCTATAAATATGTAAACTATATTACAAACTAATACAATCGAAGGTAAAATATTAGCAACTAAAATCATTTGAAAATATATAAATCAAATGAACTGTTGCGTAGTGTTAATATAACAGTTCAAAAAAATAATATGTAGTAGGATATTTCCAAATAATTACTGAATTTCAGTTAAACTGTTATTTATTGAAATATTTATAAGTACAAAGTATTAATTTAATTTAACTAATAGACTTGCATGAAGGTGCTTGCTAAGATCGGATTACAATATATCTAAATATTGGTCTGTTAGCAACCTCCTAGTCCTACATTATTTATTATTTATGTGGTTCCCCCTATATAATGATAGTTGTAAGGATCTACATTTATATATATCTATAACAGAACATTTACTTGCTTTTTTACAAAGTTAAACTTATGAGTGGAGTATTTTTGTAATGAAGTAGTTTATTAGACCTTAAAAATGACAAAAGATTGTCAATATGTCAAGGAACGAAGCCATTAAGTTCTTAGGTGTTCATGACTTAATGAACAAGAATATGAGAATACAGAATACCTGTCAAAATCAACAAATTATGTAACTACTCATATAAGCCTCATTACAGTACATATATTAAAAATTAGATGATTAATTTAGACACGGGTAAAATTACCTTAGAGCTATACGAAATCTATTTCCTTTAAGATCCCCTAATTTAAGGCTAAAATCTTTGTATACATAATTTCCAGTCCATATATTCCTAGTATAAGCTTTTGCAACATTATCAGCATTTAATTTTCGAACTGATATCATTTGAGTAGTATTTCCTCGCTTATCTTTTGTGCCAGCATGTTTTATCATATTAACCTTCACCCTAAATTAAAAACAAGCTATTTTATAAATATTTAACTAAGTAAACAATAAAAATAATAAATACTATAAATTAAAAATTAATTGAATATGATTTAATCAACCAACATGTTGCAAAAATCATTATTTGAAAAATAATAACTTACTAAAAACTTACTTAACAAAAAAAAAATTAAATTATTAATGTTGAAAAAACTGATGATTTTAAAATATTTAATTAAAATGTTACCCAAGTTGTTTAGAAAGAATGTTCACTACATTTGTAGTATCCATATTACATTTGTGTAAAGCAAAATGTAAATATTCAGGCCTGGATGTAGGCCATGTTTGTCTATCTATAATAAAAACAATAATATATTTAACTAACAGAAATATTAGTTTTCATTCATATTTTGAATCCTTTTTCATTTTATCATTAAACTTCGACAAAAATATCAAGCTATCAAAAACGGTATTCGGACAAAATATCCTGTAATAAAATATCCAAGTCAAAATAACCAAATAAAAAAAATTATAAAAATTTGTATTATTAATAACTGTATAATTTTTATTTAAATACATTATTGTTCATTTTTAGATCACATTTTAATACAATTTAACATTAATAATACTTTATAATAAAGTTATAAAATAATAATAAAAATAATATGTTGTATTAGGTATATAGTAATTATATCTTTAGTTTTATGTAGTGCATTACAATGTAAAATAGTTTTATTTTTACTATTATTATTTTATTACTATATTATAAAATATTAAATAATGTTAATTTTGATTTAAAAATGAACAATGTATCTAAATAAAAAATAAATAAAAAAATAATGTACAGATATACAAATTTATTATTTTTTTATTTGGATATTTTGTCCTAGATTCATCAAAAACATAGGTATAAAACATTATTATTCATTATTTATTTTCCAACATTTAAGTAAAATAGTAATTTACTAAATCATTAATCCAAATTAACTAGCTTACTATAAAATTTTTATGTATGTACATTAGAATTAATATTAATTATTTACATTTTGTAATTAAGTCTTAATACTATTGAAATTGGTTTAATAAACATTTAGTTTCATATGTACATATGTATATTATTACTATTAACTTCTATTACACAGTTAATCATCCTTTGATATTAGTTACAAGTAATGCATACAAAAGATAAATATATTTATAAATTAGAATATATGTACTATTTCATGATATAAGAAAATCAATAAACTACTCAAATACATTTTACTTATTATCACATAAAATAAAGACATAGGTTATTGATAAAAATCAAATTAGAGCTTATATTAATAAATATTTAATAAATATTTTCCCATATCTATGATCTAGAAATAGTTATAACAGTAATTATATATATTGTAACTCAGTGATAGATAAATTTTTATTTCATTATGAGCTTTATTTTAGTTGTTAAGGCAAAGTCGAATTTAATATAAATTTAATTTTACTTGAATAATACTAAGCATTAATAAATATTTTCATTATAATATAATATATCAGTTGTTAAATATACACTCACCATTTTTAACAAGAGTAGATAGACTAACTGCAATAAATGGTTTGTCCTGAGCATCTTTTTTAGTGCAAGTACTAACTTTTTTATTATACTTGAACTTTAAAAACTTATGTATTGATTTACGCTGTTCTTTAGTTAATCCATCAGTCTAAATAAATTTTATATACATTAAAATAAAATGATGGTATACAATTTTTTTAATTAAAAATATTACACTAATTTCGATTTGTTTAGAACTATGAGATTCTATCAATTTATCAATATCTTCCGCATATTTTTCACATAAACCACTTTCATCAATCACATCTAGACACATTTAATAAATCAATAATTTAAAAGTTTTTTCATTATAAATAGATTACCATTTTTACAAGGTTCCTCTAATTCTTTTTCAGGAACAGTACGACTCGTAAGGCGCACAATATTTCCATCTAAATCAATTTCATTCACTTGAAAATCAGATAACCTAAATTTATTGAAATATTAAAACTAAAATAAAAATTTGTTTGATTTCTATTAACCTGTGCTTTAATATACCAGACATTCCAGTAGTAGATGTAGTAAACTCTGTAATACCTACATTTTTTTCTTGAAGTCCCTCGAACAATACTGTCTTTGTAGGTCCTGAATATAAAAACGTTACATATCCTGTCATTCATATGAATTAAACTATGAAATACAAGTTAATATAAATAAATCCATACGCAAGTTTTTCAGCACGGAATCAATAACAGAGTCGTTGGTTTGACTGTTTACTCCTAACATTTCTTCTTCTATAACACTCATTTTTCAACAAAAAAAGAAATAAAATAGGAAAATAGTGTCAAATGTACATGTAATTAAAATATAAAATTTCAAAAAATCGTATTATTTTTATAATACAAACGATATTTATTAATTGTAATAAGTTTTGAATATTTAGACGTGCTTCAATTTAACGTGTATGAAACGTAAGAACTAATCGAAGACAACTCAAATTGTAACCGAAGATTAACTTTTTTTAGGTTAAATTTGTTTTATTAATAGTATTATGAACAGTTTCGACAATCAAAATATAATTACAAAAATATACTCGTACGATACAGTACGGTATGGAAAGAAAATTCAAGGCGAAACTTTATTATAATACACGTATTTTATTTAAATTTCGCATTTTGTATTCAATCCATTAGTTGTGTGAAATGTGGTCATTGTGGTGTAAATTTCTGGTAATAATATTTCCGAGACAACGATAGATAACACAGTTATCACTTATCAGTGAAATGCAAAATTCGTTCGAAAACGATGTGACGTCAGTAGTACATTGTGTAGTCTGCAATCATGAAACTGTACCTTGTTTCTACGTCATTAAAGATACGACTACAGATATTTATTTTTATACATTTTTGAACTAGACTACAAAAACTTCCGTTTTCTATAAATTGTGTTAGTATACATGTGTTCAATAAATTTATGATTGACTCACTAACTGTATAATTGCCATTTGTTGTGGTCAATTTTAAATCGTTCCAATTCAACGCACATACTTCGTTAGTGGTAAGTTCAAATCATCGAGACTGTCCAGATTCACGCACAACTGTAATAAATTGAAATATGTCTGTTATCTAGGTTAACGGGTTCTAGTGGTATTGCTGCTCACAATTTTTGTTTTTACCTTTGCCAAACTGTGTCACGTGCCGACGTGCCTATATAATTATATTAAATAACGAAATTTTTATAACGCATAATGAGCATTAATTAAAATTACGTTAACTTACTGGTAAATAATTTAAAACAAACGTTTTTTCCTGAATATTTAGTGGATTTTATAAATTTTATAATATGTTGGGTTGAATAAATGTGTATATTATTTTAATTTTTTTTTATTGATTTACTTAAAATATGGATTTACATAAAATTGAAATTATTCACAATACAAAACTCAAAAAAATAACTAATTATTTTTTAAATCTATTTTAAAAATGGTATCAATAGTATTGTTAAATATTCAAAAAATATTTGTCTTAAGTTTTAGTTATAGTTAAATTTGATTTCAATGATTTTAGTATGAAATAATTATTAAAATTTTAATTTAATATAACATTAATAGTATATAAAATATGTATTTGTTTATTAATATTAATTGTAATAGTGTATTCAATTGTGTGAAAAAAAATAAATAATCATAGTATTTATTTATTATAATTAGAGCTCGGATTCAAAGCATAATAAATAACAAAAAAAGCAAAAATTAAGCATATTAATTTTTTAAAAAAGTAAAAAATAAAGTTTGACTAAAAATTAATATAAATTAGTTAAAAAACTGAATAAAAAAATTATTAACTACCATGTATTTTATAAGATTTGCAGTAGCGAAATTGTATCTATTATCAGACTGAATGTTTTTATACAAAGAAAACGAATGCTTTACATCCATTGAAGTTATTGGTACACACTTCAAGCAAATGGTTTTATTTAAATTTAATCTATGATAACTCATTTAGTTTGATTAAACACCATCAATAAATTATTAATGTCTAGTAATTGTTTTCAGCCTTTGTTATTCAAAAGAACCATTTAGTTAATCCGAAATTGCAGTTGCAATATCTCCATTAGCTTCATATAACTTCTTTCCTGCATCTAAGATAATATTTATACATTTTATCAACTATCTAACTGTCTGTAGATCGATAATTTATATGTTTTATAAATTGAATAACTAAGCCGAAAACAATAATAATCCAGTACAACCAATTAGTCCGTGTTCCGGGTTTTCAAATTTGTTATAAATTAAATACATTTTTTTTATTACTATAGTATAATAAACATAAAATATCCACAGCTGGAATAGCTGAAAAAGCAAAAAAAAACATTTACATAAAAAAAAGCCAAAATAAATTGGTTTATTTGGATATAGAAAGACGTGAAACAAATGTATATTTAAAAATTAGAGTTCTATCTCATATATAAAAAAAGAAGCATTTCCTTTAAAATCCGAGCCCCAATTATAATGAAGTTCAATTATTAATCTTTGATTACCAAAAGTAGTTCAAGGTGTAATATAGTTTAGTAAATAACATTTTATGTATTAATGATATCCATTTCCATATTTATGTTAATTTTCAAATCCTTTAATATTTATTATTATTATTGTCATAATACAGTTTTAAAATAATTGTACACATAAAGAAATTATATATATTATTAACTAGTCAGATATAAAGGTATCATATAAAACCATTAAATCTAATAGTTTAAAAAAAAAAGTAAATTATAATAGGTTAATTTTGAAGATACTAATTTGTATGAATAATACGTTTAAAATCCATGTACATTCTTCATAATATGTTCTTATTATAATTCTTTGTTTCAGATAATTTTATTTGATATTAAATATTATTATGCCTTGGTGTGTGGTAGTTGGCTGTAAAAACAATTTAAAAGCTACAAAACGTTCTGGAAAAGATGTGTCTTATCATATTTTTCCAAAAAACCCTCAACGCCGTAGTGCTTGGATCAACACTTTAAATCGACCTTTTAAGTTTAATGCAGATGCATCATATATCTGCTCAGAACATTTTATAACTGATGACTTTGAAAGTAATAGTTTAAAAGAAGAATTATTAAATATTAAAGTCAAAAGACAACTTAAAAAAACTGGTAAATATAATTATTTGTTTAAGTTATAACTTAAATACTATAAATCTATTAATTATTTATATCAATGAGCTAAAAACCTTTCCAGCTATTCCATCTGTTAATATGCCTACACCTTTAGAAGAAAAACAATATAAAGTTTCCGTACAAAATTTAAGTAGTCAAAGTCCTATTGAAGTTTATACCAATGTAAGTATTACTAAGTAACAATTAATAGGATAATATCTATATATAAATGTCATGCTAGTTAATATTCTAAACATATTAAAGCTCAGTAACTTTGAAGAGTATTTTATAAACATATTTTATTTTATTTTACTATAGTGATGGGCATAACCGAATACCAACTATTAGTTATACTTATAAAAATACTACCGATTAATTAGTCACTAATAATAAGCATGACCGAATAATTTGGAGTATCGAATATTAGTTGTACTTATAAAAATACTACTGACTAATAATAAACACGACCGAATAATAATTCATTAGTTGACTAATTATTCCATAGTTGACTAATTATTTATTAGTTGATTAATTATCTGTTAGTCAACTAATTATTCGTTAGTCGATTAAATTATTTGTCAACTAATATTTTAGTCATAAACCGACTAATAAACTTATTCAGTACAATCGATTTAGTCGGTAGTTATTAGTTACTCATGCCCATCACTATTGTACTACTTAAATGTATAAATTTAATTTTCTAAAAAAAATAATACTTAAAAATAGTTTATTATCATATTTAATAAATGTGTGTTTAATTAATAATTATATATTTAATTTAACTAAAAAAAGCTGTAAACTAAATTGCAGGTTAATATACTATTATATTAATTGACAATGTATTGTGCTTTTTCATTAATTTTGAGTTATTTTATTCAGTATAAATTTAACAATGATCTTTTGTCGAAAATAGCATGAAAAAAAACTGAATTTATCATATATTTATACTATTATTATTATAATTTATTTATGACAAGCCATAAATTTTTATGGCAAACCATCATTGTTATTTCCGGTTAGAAACTTATAATGGAATCTAGTTTTTACAAAGTAATATTTTATTCTTACTAATTTTATTAGAAACAATACAAATTATAAGATAATAATACTGTGGGTATTTCATATTTTGACTGAAATAAATGAGATAAGTTACACATTTTATTGTATTGTAAAATATAACCATTACTTCATTGATATTTAAGTGTATTCAGTAAATACTGCTTATTTTAAAAAAATAATTAAAAATAATTCTTATGTTTTTAAGTCAGTACTTCCGAAAAAAGATGTCGTACCAACAGTAAAAGAAGAGATTGAAGTAATAGACGTAAAAATGGTAGAAGATGAGTTAATAAAGAAAGAACGTAAAAAACTTGTAGATAAATTATTAGCTGATTATGAAGAGCAACAAAACAATAAGGGTCATTTAAAAGGCATGGTAACAAAGTATCCAAATTTTTTTTCTCCTAAAATTAATCCAAATGCTAAACTTGGTGATAAATTAAGATTATTAAAAGCTATAGATAACCCTGAAACCTATTCTCCACCTAAAAAAAGAAAAATATCTCTACCATCCAAATCTAATACAGAAAACATAGAAATTCCAATTTCTACTAATACATCTCTAACTAAAAATCAAATCATTCAAGTATCAGCAGTTAAAGGTGGACTTATGTTACATGCACTTCCACAAAATGCTAATAGCTTACAGGATACTTTTGAAAAATCTGTTATTGAAGAAGAAGTAGATGAAGAAGAAGAAATTATTATTGTTACAGAAGATGAAGCAAGTCACGTAGATCTATCATCATATGAAGAACAGCACAAAGAAAATAACACTGAAATAATTATTGTGACTAACTTGAAAGAAACTGAAGATACATTTAAACATTTAGAAAACATACCTAAAAAATCTACTGATAAAATTAATGATAGCAATAAAAATTATTGTGTACAAAATAATTTAAATAAAAGTAATGGTAAATGCATTCCTTTACATATTAATAAAGTAAAATTGACTGAAGAAAAAGCATGCCAAGTATTAATCCCATGCAAAGGTTGTGAACACAGAAGTCTTAAAATTAATAAACTTTTAAGAGAAAGAGTAAGATTATTGAAAGATCATAACCAAAATGGTGCATGGAAAGATCCAGATGAAATCACTAATTTAAGAAGAATGAATGGTGTTCTATCTTTATTGTTAAAACAATGTGTTAGTGAAAAATATGGTAAAAAGTCTTCATCAATAAGAGTTGATTTAGTTCAGGATTCTATAGAAAGAATTGACAGAGGATGGTCAATGCAAGATACATCGGAAGCCTTATGTCAAGCTTTTAGTGTTAATGCATATGACAAATTTTCCAGAGCTTTTGAAATATTAAATGAAACATAATGTGAAAATTACATTTTATTAAATAAATATTTAATTGATTATTTAATACCATCTTATTTATAGTAAATTGTTAATAAATTAGATTTCTATCAATACAATATTGAAATTCACTAACATTGGTATTTATTAAAAAGTTGTATTTAATCATTGTTTACAGGGTAAAAAATTACAAATTAAAAAAAAATAAAATTTTCAAATTATATAAAATCTATTTTTCATTATTTATTATGCTTGATTAAAAAATGTTTTTGTAAAAAAAATAGTATAAAAATTTTTATATTGATTGTAAGTGTTATATTGTTGAAATATTTTTTATTAAGAATATTATAAATCATTTTTTTCTTAATTGTATAAATAAAATAACAAAATTCAGTTGTATTAAGTTTCTTATTTCTATAATACTTTTACCAATTGTTTTGGTTCAATGTTACTACTATTTTATATCATAATGTTTTTTGGATTAGATTCAGAGACATCTTGTAAAGCCTCTACGATTTAATGTTACTCATTATTGTTAGTAGATCAGCCTGGGTAGGTCCCAACAACCCCACAACCTAAAAATGTTGCGTCAGTATTGGTTGTAGAAATCAAAAACTGGTATACATATCTATTATTTAATCTAATTATTCTAATGAATAATAATAGTACTGATCTCCACTTGCAAAATCAATTAAAAATCAGAGCTTACTCACAACCAAATAATTTGGTTCACACATATGTGGTTTACAGTTCTTTTATGTACCTTCGTATATTAAAAGTAATATATAAAATAAATAATCAGTATCGTCCGTATGTATCTTACAGTATTAAGGTGCGATTCCTATGCACGCGACTAAAGAAGCGTGATTTGAATTTTGTCCTCGTGATCATTTATTTAGCCGTATGGTCTAATATTGAATCCTATGCACACGGCTAACTAAAATAATTTTAGGCACGTATATTTAGTTGTAATAAGTTCTCTATTTGGTTAGGTTGTACTTGTATATTTTATAAGTGTGTTTTAAAATATTATTAGTTTCACCATGTCCTTAACAAAAAAACAAAAAAAATTTTAAACTACTTCTTTTACAACGAGTAAAAGAAGAACAAACCATCATAAAATACGTTCTGCTAAAAAATAAAAATGAAGTGCATAAAATGTACTTAGCCAGGGAAGTTGAAGGATTTTTCAGTGTCCTTAATAAAAAACATGGCAAGACGAAACCAAATTCAGGGAATTTTTCAGATTGAGCTGGGATCAATTTAATTATGTATTGAACCTAGTTGAGGAAGACAAAAACCAACCCAAACAACAAAATTAGAAAACCCATAACTGCTGCTGAAAAACTAGCAGTCACGCTGAGATAACGTAACATATGTTTATAGTATAATTTATATTTCATAGTTCCTGTATAATGTTCATTTTTAAATAATGTGTATAAAATCATTTTTATTGATAATAAATTATATTAAACTTCTCCTTTAATAAAAATTAACTAATTAAATGATGGCATTTTTTAGGTCATACAAACATGAATGTTCCCTTACACATTCAGCCAATTGTATTCAATCATACGGTATATTAAAAATTAGCCGCGCGGCTCGTGCGATTTGACTGCTTTCGAAGCGGTCGTCGCCGCGCGCGTCCGCCGCGATCGTAGGAATCGGTTACATTTAAAAACAAGTAAAGTAGTGCACGCGCGGCCAAAATTGAATCGCACCGCGTTGGCCACGCGTCTCTAGACACGAGCATAGGAATCACACCTTTAACTGGGATACTTGTATGACAAGTATTGGCGAGATTCTCATGAGGTATATCTCTACATCAAATTTAATCTGAGAGGCTAAGATAATATTGTAATGCCCAGCAAAAATTAGTATATATGTAGTAAGGTGTGCTAAAATTGTACAAATTGTAATAATATATAGTACAGCATTTGAACGATAGCTAAAAATGTAATTGAAAAAAATAAATATATATATATATATATAATATGTATGGATAATTTCATAATCCTACACAATAATTAATCTAGGTACGTAATAATTTACAAACTTTTTCAGTTTTAATTAAAAACAAAAAAATAACGTAATTATTATATGAAGTCTAAACCACTAATGCAGTTAGATTAAATCCAAAATTAATACCACCGTGAAATCAATGTATTTCGCCGTATTTAGAATGTTTAATGTTTTCAAATATTTTGCCAAGTAATGCAAAAATGTAATACATAATTAAATGTTGTAATTTCGGTATACCATTAATTTACAGTCAAATGGTATAATGCTATAGCGTGTCCAGTTCTAATTTTATCGGTGAACTATTGACCAGTTAGGTTCAGTGGCACAAAAAAAAACTGTATTATTCCCCTCTCATCTACCAGTTATCAACTATTCTTATGAAATAAAACCGTTCAGTTAATAATATATTAAATAAAATGTTTTAAATAATCAATAGCAATAATAATTAAAAATATAATAAATAAGTCACCAAATAATGATCCTAATAAATTTTTACCTTATTTTGATTATCTACCAATAATGGAATATAAAACGTATTTATTTCAATGATAAGGTCAAGAAACTCAGAACATAAGTCGTTGATTTTTACTATGAACTCTTAAATATGTCTCTACAATATCATATTATCATGTACCTATGAAAAAAAAAAACCTAGAGGACCTTGAACTATCCGAACCATTTCAGTTGACAATCATATTTTGTAACATTATTATTTCTAAAATTTTAATTTTCTAACCATTTCTTTTGAAAATATAAAAATTAGTTTCTTTGCCTAGTTAAATTATAAAATAATTTAAATTAAACTCGAAGAAATAATAAAATGCAGACATTTTTTAATAATAAATTACTTTTATTTGAAAGATTAACTGTTTTTATTTATATAAATCGTTATTTTTATTTTTATAATCAATTTATTGTTATTATTCATAGTATTCAAAATTATTCAAGCATTCTCAAAAAAAAAAAAATAAAAATGATTTTACTTGAAAGTTGATGTAGAAAGATAAGATTTTGGTTAAAGAAATAATTATCGTAAATAATAATTCCATCATGGCTTAAGAACAACATCCAAATGTTGTTTAACATACTCCAAAGCATTTTTCAATATTGTCAATTCCAGTTGTATCTGCGTGTATGCCAATTGTTGAAACATTGACAACTTATCCTAAACAATAAAAATGTAACTGTTAAAAATGCCTTACCATGTAATTCAGATGATCAATTTTATTAAATATATAAATAGTTTTTATTGCATACTTGCATGTACGATATACCAATACAATTACATGATTTATTAATAATTTCTAGTTATAATTTAAATTGAATTATAATAGTACACAATTATACTATTTTTTAAAATGTCTAATTGTGTTATACAAAAATGTTGACACATTTTAATTTTAATTTTATGAATGACCGTTTTATGAGTAGTAATAATTGATTAAAAAAAAAAAAAAAAAATGTAATAGTAAATTTTTTAATTTTGTTGTAGCTGTCTTTGCATACCAGACGTAACAAATTAGATGTATTGGTCTATAACAAACTACTATTTTTATTCGTTATAATTTACACATTATAATAGGAGTTCGATTCATACATATTATACGATCTTCTAGACCAATATGTAATACATAGTTCAAAATACATTTTTCTTACATAATTCATTCATAATACTTCACACCTCCTATATGTATTCGATCCAATTGAGTAGATACCGACAAAATATGACTCGTAATATTTTGTATTGATAATTATTGACCAAGAAAGCTACAAATAATAATCTAATAATAATTGGTTCCGAAACCGCAACATATCAACATTTAGCTATGGTTTTTTTTTTTCTTTAAAAGTAATCGAATGGTATACGCTCATTAAAGTATACTCAACCGAATACTGAATGTATCCAAATCTTACATTATTGTTGTTTGCAAAATATTGAACGGTTGTACTAATTTTCAAAAAGTATTAAAAGACGAACCGTATTTTCCGGCGATGCAGGATACTGTTTCATCAACAAACTGATTCTGACTTGTAAAAATTCCCAACATTTGATCTCGAGTGCCGGGTCAAGCGTGCCATCCAGTTGCGTCAAATTCAAACAGTGTTTCTCTTCCAGTTGAATCCAGTTTTCCAAGGTTTCTGATGAACAAGACAATGTATATACAACATCATTATAATAAAAGCAATACAATTAACAGAATAAACTGCTTCGTAAATAGGACGAAAAACTCATTCGATAGTTCGCTATCATTCTTTGAACTCTAAAAAGACCCTCGAAGGTTCTGTTACGACGGTTTTCGATGTATATTCTATGAAATAGAAAAGCAAAATCATTTTTTCATTTTAAAATCAAGACCCCAATAAGTGTAGAATATAGATATAAGAAATATTATAGTCACAGTGAAATCATAGAAAATTACTATATTGAACAACAGAAATGGCAGGCTAATGAACAATGTAAAGACATAATAAGAAAAAAAAAATTCTGCGTAAGAAGAGTAAAAAACAATTATTATTATATAACCATTAGGTAATAGATAAATTATATTGGAGGTGGCCAACTTTTAAAGACTTCTGATTGATTCTGGACGACCGGCCGAAAAAAAATGTTGTTTTATTACTGAGCAAAAATATATTTTATATACAAACATATTGTATGTTACACTTTATTTTTTCTACTTAAAATATTAATAAGTAATTATAACATTAATTTTACATAACACGTATTTTAATATATTTTTCGTAAATTGATACGAACACAATAAATACCGTTATTTAATACATATATCCATTAGATTACGTATATATACCTACATAGCTATTCGATTTCAATGTATAATTTATTTTATTTTTCATAGTTATTTTTTACTATATATTGCTTTAATTCACCGCTGTGAATTATATTAGATATATGTTATCAGTGGCAGCGTGAAGTGGGTTTTATTGAAGCAGGTGCTTCATGACCAAAATTGAGTGGATAGGTGGTGCTATGTGACAGTAAAGTTTAATACATAAATTGCGCAATTGACATAAGATATCATCACATATTGTTTTATATGGATGCATTAATTTTAATATTTACTCCAAATCTAAAAATTTGACTTGGGATGGGGCGACTCGATACACGTAAATTGCTTCATTGGAAAATAAATTTCGCGCCGCTACTGGATGTTATTAAACATATGAAAACCACATTATAATTATATCTAGTAGTATTTTAAGAACTGAAACGATCAAAACTATTTTAATAAATAAATAAAAACATTAGGCGTAACGATAGTGCTAGCGAAATCGGTAGAATAAAATATTATAAGACATTATTCTCAGTGACGGCCAATGTGCGGTAGATTTTAATTTTATTGTATTTTAATATTCAATCTTATACATCGACGTGCATCACGTTTTTACGTGCATTTTTATGAGTTACAATTATATCTCGTCAAACCATGTAGAAGGGAGAGAGCGATAAAAAAACACGATCTCGTTTAAAATCATAGGTATTTGCTATAGGTTTTTAACCTTAGACGATATCGTTGCGCACAATAATATACATTAAAGGCGATATAATCATATTGAGGATGAACGAAAATCGCGTTGAAAACGTAATAATGTTATTTAAAAAGTTTCATCCCACATCAGTGGTGTACTAAGAAATTCGGGAGGAGAGGAGGGACGATCAGTTCCAATTCATAACAAAAAAAAAAAAAAAAAAATGATAATAAATTTAATGTAATAAATCACGTTTTCTGAAAAAGAGTATGGAAGCGGAAGGGTGCCCCCGTTTTAATTTAATATCATTTAAGATTAAAACACAATACAGTAAGCCACGGCCCCGTTCGGCGGATACGTCACTGTCCTGCAAGACCACGGTTTAGTAAGGGTTCTCCGTATTGGCTGGCAGACATGGTTATCGACTAAGCGACTAACCGACTGTAGCCCGAAAAAAAAAACACTGTACAACTGTATTGACGAGCACGACCGGTTGGTGTATACGTACTCTGGTCCATGTTAAAGATGCGCACGAAAGCCAAGAGCTTGCCGTCGACGGGAAACGGGCCGGGCGTGATGTAGAACTCGGACAGGGCGGACAGCGAGAGGGTCTGGAGCAGCCGGTGGCGGAGCGAGTACAGCGGGTCGGAGCGGGAGACGCCCAGGCGTATTTTCACGGCGTCGTGCTCGTTGTCCGGGTACACGAAGCCGTTGTGCACCAGGAAGTCGGCGTTGGTGCGCACCCCGTAGAATATGTACACCTGGTCCTCGGCCGAGTAGTCGGCGTCCGCGTAGCAAACGCACACGTTGTTGGACTTTTCGAAGTCGGTCGACAGCTGTGCAAGGGCGCGAAATGCAAACGAAACATAGACATTTTTTTTTTTTTCTTTTTCTTTTTTTTTTCAACCTACACCTACGAGATGATAACGCCGATCGACATGGCGCGACCGAGCAAATAATGTTAACGCGGCGCGCAACGTTTCTGACCATTTTTTATTCCCGTGGCCCTTTACACTCCCACTCGCCAGAACCAAACCGCGTGCCAAGTCGAAGACCTTTGTTTTCATTTCGTTTGTTTCATTATTACTACCGCGCGTAATGCTGTTACGCTTTAATATGTGCAAATACACAACTACTAAACACACTGGTAAGTATTCGTCGCAAATGTTGTAACAATTGATTCAAATAAATTATACGTATACGACTATTTAAAAGGTTATAATTTAACTGTTTTCATTTAAATACAAATCAAATTCTACATTAGTCCTACTCCGTACATATGTACAAGTCAAATGCACTCTTGAGGGTATGTAAGAAAAGTTACGACTCGTGTTGTAACTCTTTTACGGTAATAATGGTACATTCATACTCGACGTTAAGGAGTTGTTGCGTCGTAACGGTAGGTAATATGTGAAAAACGTATGAACAAATCGAGCATAGGCTACGTGACGCGCAGTCGTAAATTAAGTAGTTAAATATTTACATGAACACACGTTTCACCAACATTAGAATGAAGATCAGTGTGTTTTCTAATTTCTACGGAGTAAATCATATACTGATAATAAATAGGATTTCGTATGCATAGATTCACTGCAGGTATTGAAATAAGAAGATGATGTTTTTATCATTTATAAAGTCTTAGCAATTGCAAGTTTAAAGCATTCGATCCACAACGAAAATACAATATCATTAAAGAAAATTATTAAAAAGTTAATAAAGCTAATTTCCAATATTCTTAGAGAAGAGTTATGATCATAGAGCTTACTTTATAATCAACTCCACGGATACGCTTATTTTCATTGTAGATTTGTTATAAAAAAAGTTAAATTCAAATGTTTTTAATTTTTTAAACAATTAAATATGTACAAAGACGACTATAGGACTATTGAATTTTTTTTTTATTAAAGAGATGTTAATATTAAATTATTATACACAATAATTGATTTAAAGTATTTAGAATTTATATGAGTGGAGTAGAAAATTAATGAAGTATTATACCCACCAATTATTTTCAAAAAAATATAGAAACTAATAAAATAATATAATTAAATGGTTTATTCAGATAAAATAATCTTATAAATAAGCCTATTAAAATCATTTTAAAAACAAACGTTAAAAATTATGTTTAATTTTAAATGTTTTGATATTACGTACGATAAATATTTTCAACGCTGTTCAACGCGAACGAAAATAACTACAAGTGTCGGAGATCAGTTTTAAAATCAAATCAAAATGTTCTCAAACAAAAAAGTTACTAAAACACATTCTATTCCATTTCATGAGAAAATTATGCTTACGCCCCTGAAATTACTTTCAATGTTGAATAAATATAATTTAACTACCTAGAGAAAGGTTAAACACTTGTAGGTAGTATTTACTATATAACTTTACATATTTAATTACAAAATGAGATGTGTTTGGGAATAATAAGCTTATCCTATAATAACCTTAAATCTCATAAACTCATTGTTGTATTTATGCACATAAAACTAAAATAATAATGTTTATATTCAAATATGATTAATAATGAATCTTTTTTGGCATTAATATTTAATATCTAAAAATTGTGATTAAAAATATATTGTTTATTATTTCATAAATATATAAATTATAACATCTTACACTTCCACTGCGGTGATTGAACATGTCCCAAAGTGGTATAAGAGCACTTACAGTTTCAGAAGGGTTGTTAGAGCTAGGAACTGTATTTTGACGAGACATTAACGTAGATACTGCCCATCTAAAACAAAATAATTCAAATAAATCATTTATTAGCTGCCGACTACTAATTCCAACGTCTTAAGAAAATAATTTTATTATAACACACAAATTACAAGTTACTAATATATTAGTTAAACAACGAAAATAATGTCATTGATTTTTAAGATACAAAATGTGTTTTCAATTTTAATATGTTTGAAAAACCAAAAACCAATTAACAATATAATCGTCAAAAAATGATAGCTCAAATCTGAAGGAGGTGAAAAAGTACAGGTTATCGATATTTCAAATGGCTGCATCTGAATTGGGTCCCGAATTTTTTTAGGTACTACACTAATTGGATCCCGGATTTTTATAGGTACTGCATTAGTTCCTGTATATTTTTTGGTAAGTTCTATATTATACTAACATTTTTCTTCCAATTTTAACAGACAAAGGACTATCTATGATCTATTTAGACTACAGGTATGGTTGAAAATATTTTTTATAGTTTTTTTTTTTTGTTTTTTAGTTTCTTTTCCATTAATTTTTATTTTTATTTATATTATATAATTATTTTAATATTTTTAATATTTTTACCAACACAATTCTAATAATTTATATTTTAATGGAATAGAAACTACAAACAAAAAATAACTAAAAAAAAAACATTTTTAACCATACCTGTGATCTAAATAAATCATAGACTGTTCTAAGTACACTACCTGCGATTAGTCCCTAGTACTCGGGACCCAACTCGGATGCTCCGTTTAAAATAAACTCAAAAAATTAGTAATAAAATTCCGTTGAAAAGACAGGAAATATAATTAGAGTAATCATGACATGATTGTATAACTAAAATCAATATTGAAATTGTATAATGCTACGATTAAAAATAAATAGAAAAATATTTGAAAAATATCGCCATAAGTATTAGGTCAAATCATAATCGTCCAACAACAAAGCTCTATTCTTCAACGTCGAAAGTTTTAATTAAAACGCATTTTGTTCTTGCATCAAAATATGAATTATTAAATAATACAATGAAACCATGTGTAAGAAGTAGATTAAATCCACTTTGAGATCACCACAGATATCTTTTGTGATTTTATATTATAACTGTATGTTCACCTAAAGAATGTAAATTAAAACGTTTTGAAAACTCATTAAACACTTGTACGTATACAGGTATACCGACTACCATAATTGTCCAACAAACTGTAGTATTGATATACGTGGTACCGAAAAAAAAATCGTATACCGGCTGTAATACTTCCTAGGCGAATAAAAAGTGTGTCGCATTCGAACCGATATGAATAATATATTGAATATGGCTTTAAGGGTTAAAACACATACACACATGGAGTGTCAATAGCGCATTCGGTAGTACCAGATTGATATAGTGGTGTTATTGCAAGCGGAAGGAGTTTGACCGAATGGAAGTGGTACGGACATGCATCCTGTCATACAAATACAGTTCTTCGGTGAAAGGTTATTTACAGTGTCTCGTGTTCAGTGATCGTTCGCGCCAGAAACTACCGCGGCATGTGCCAGTGCGCGTTTTCCATTTAGTATTTCGTAGTAACAATAACGAACTAATTATCGCCGCAACGATAAGTTAAGGATACGTTGGTTTTGATGATTTCGAGATGCAGACGATGAGTATACCAACAAAGCACTATTTGAAGAAAAACAGATGCGAATAACAAGTTTGTTCCAGAATTATCATATTATTTCATTAGCAATCCAATACTTTGTATATGTTAAATTAGCATAATTCATACGTATGTAGATGGTACCGGAAATATTTTTCAAGCAACAATGTATATACAATTAAAATTATAATGCATGTATAGGTAAATAGATTTGAAAGTAGATAAAATAAAGGGCGCAGTTATTATACAAGAACTTATATTTTTCCGGTTAATGAAACATTAGTAAATTTTAATTTTAATAAGTAATTAGTATACATTTAATGTTATTAATGTTAATAAATTATTATCGACATTTTTAAAAAAAAAAATACATAAAAATTTTTGAATGTATTGAATATTTAATATTTTCAACCATTTTCAGAAAATTATAAAATTAAGAAAAAACAAATCAAATTTAGAAGAAGAAAAATAGAAATTTTGAAGTTAAGGGTCAACCCTTCGGTTGATAATAAAAATAACTATATAATATCCATTATTTAATGTTATAATCAGAGCCAGATATCCGATAATAAATAGGCTAAAGCCTATGGGTATCAAGTTGTAAGGAATGCCAATATACATTCAATTTTTTATCATACGCATGAGGTTGATATTTTATTCGTTGGAAATAATGTATAGTATATAATTTATAACAACATATAAGGATTATAATAAACTTTGCAGGAAATATCATATGATTTTGGGGCGGTTTATTTTTATTTAGGGCCAGTATTCCATAATTAAACTTGAATCTCCAATTAGAAAAATCCATAGAGATTAAAAATTATTAATCAACAAATTAAAATATTTAAATTAATTAATATAATAATGACAATTATTAACGATTTACAATGATTATAATTCAAAATATTTTTTATGAAACAAAAACATATTAACAAATGTCAATGAAAATACAAATTAAAGAAATTAATTTAAAAAAATTTTTTTACGTCGCAGTTTTTTCTACATTACATGATACTCGGAGTTAATTAAGTTTCGGGGACATTTACTATGTAGATTAACATATTAATTGTATAGTTTTTAGATTATGTTATTACTGTTAAAATTATATTATATTTCAAACATTTTTCATATGTATTGTACTTTATAATTTAATTTGAACATAACCCCAGGTGTTTTTTTTTATCATTATTTTTCGCATGTCTAAAGAAAAAAATGTAATAAAAGAGCATTGAACACAGGTATAAATACCATACTCAAAAGCTATACTATAGGGTGTCATAATTAAGTTGATTCCAGCTCAATATTTATTTTATAAAATACACTTTTGATGTAAAAAAAATCATAATCACATTAAGTCACGAATAATTTTTAAATTATTTTGGAATGAAATTACTCACTATAAAAGTTAAAGACAAAATTTACCAAAGTATAACATTTATTATAAATATTTATTTATTTTTTTCTACTTAGTCATTTTATATTATAACTCAAAAGTACTCATGAGCTATTCATATAAGCAAAATGTTGATATCCAAGCAAATTTAAATTTTTAATTAAGTTTGAAAAAAACATTTAAGTTATTTTGAAAATTTTAAATTACATTTCGATTTAAAGTAAATATATATATTTAAAAACACCATAATACTTACCTAAAATGTAATTGATAAATAATTTTAAAAGGAACGAGCCTATAGTTCCTATAATTTGTTTTTAATTGAATAAAATTGTTCATCTTTTGACTTAATTCTGTAACGAATAGTTGGAAAAATGAGGAAGTATGTATTTTGTGTTAGACGCGGTTAGCGGAACAACCTATTAATAGCGTTAAGAGAGTTCCGCGTTATGTGATTAATCAAAACAGAATGAACACCTTTTTTAAAGATGATATTGTTAACATTCAAATTTTATTAACCAATTAACTGTATTTAAGTACAAAGATACATACGATTCACTTTCTAAGCATTTAAAATTGAATCATTTATCAATAATATGTTATACTTTTATTGTAAGTATAAAAATCAAAAGATAATATTTATGTTCATTAAAATACAAAGTTTTTTATTTGTTTATTCTAAAATAATTTTGTTACCAATTGAAAATATTACTAAAAATTATTCACATAATAACTTAAATCTAAAGGAGTACAATAAGAAGAAATCACCCTGTCAGCACTGCAAGTTATTGATATTAATTAATACTCAAATCAATTTGAAAGGACCTTACATTTGATTCAAGTTGACCCGTAGGTCAACTAACTATAAATACAAAAAGAAAAAAATTGTTTCAAATGTTCAAGTAGTTAATCTAGGTGTAATTAATTTGTGCAAAAAATAAACAAATATAAAAAAGTAACTATACTACGCCACAACTAAAGATTATAATTTTTATATCCATAATATTCGCCACAATAACCAGTAACGAAGTAGGTAATAAAGAACAATGCAAACTTATTTTCGAAATCATCAACTTGTAAGCAAGAACAACAATTTTTTTAATTCAATATTTCAGTTGTTAGTTGATGACTTTCCTGTGCGCATATAAAATAATCATATTTTTAAATTAAAAAAAGATTTACATTATACAAATGCATAAATTTATTATTACATTTTAAAAAGGCCAATTTATTCATTAGATTATAATATGAATACACAAAATATCTTTGAAATTTAATGAGATTGTTCGTACAAATGTAGTAAACCTATCATTTTTTTAGTTAGAAAAAAATTAACCATCTACAAATTCATCTAATTCTTATAACTCATAATAATTTCATATATATATTTTTAATAATATAATAAAAAATTATTATACAAATAATACACGTAAATTAATATATAAATAAATAAACAAATAGTTTACACATAGAATTATTTTTTTATTTTGTATATTTATTTTTTTTATTTTAAATATTTCTAAGAAAAAATACAATTTAAAACATATTTTAAAATATTTTAAACAGTAGAACTTATCTAAGATAAACAGAATGATCCTAGACAATACGAAAACTAATATTAGAGGAAAATTTTATTTGGTCCGATAAATTTATATATATAAATCCTATATCTATATACATCATAAAAACTGTTGTACAATGTTGAGGTCACTGAGAGGAACCTTCCATCATTCCGATTTTTATTTTATAAGCTATCTTCAATCATCTGAATAAAATTTCAATTGTTTTAAGTTAAATCAGTAAGTCATTAGTATCTTTAAATAAATGCCTCAAGATACCAACAAAAAAATTCAACTATACAATAATATAGTGAGAGTGTCTTTAGTTCAAAATAAATAAAAAATAAATCATTTCTAACGAAAATAAAATAATATAATTTTAAACTAGGAGTTTTAAGTTAACTTCGAATTTGAGTAAAACAAATTTATTGTCTTATTATAATCAAAAATTTAGTATACCTATGCATCATACAATTAAACAGTTTTTAAACATTTATTGAAAACCATATAGTTTATAATACTATAAATAAATATAAAAAATAAATAAATATTTAGTATTATATAGAAACCATATAATTTTTTTTCAACAAATGTTTACAAACTGTTTAATTTTAAGATGAATAAAAACGGGCAAGTCATACAATTTAGTTTTGGCCATAGATAATCGAAATTGACTGGGAAAATGTCATTTAAATTGGAAGAATTCCATAAAATGCTTTTGTTGTATTCACAATCTATGTAAAAATTCTAATTAATTAATTAGTATAATTTATATACTTTCATAGGAGCATTTATATTACTCATTAAACTGATTAAATCTATGCGTTTATATTGATTAAAACCAAAATTAAAAAAATTATTTTTATTTATTTTCACAATAGAATAGTATTCATTTTCTAGTATTATAAAATCAATGGTAATAGATATAAATAGAACTAAAAAGAAAAATCACAATTATACATGAATGCATTGTGTTATAATTTATACGGTTATAGATTTGCTTTCTAACTCAACTTCAGCACCTATAAAAATATAAACATATAAATAATACTATCATTTCGAATACTTGCGCGTCACTAGAGCATATAATAGTACTTATTCTTGGTGGATGTAAATCGATTTTAAGAAGTGTAAAAAACAGTAAACTGGTGTGTATTGTAGCAGTCTTTCAAATCATTTTTGAAATATATAAATTTGGTAATATCTCCCATCAAAATTAATCATAACAAATTATAAAATTCGTCATGCTTATTAAATAGCCGTCAAAATAGTAAAATTATAGACATATATGTAAGGATATATAAAATCGACAGTATATAATATAAAATTACAAAATTTCTTATTTCGACGTGTACCTATATGCGAATATAATATGTAAAATATATACATACGTCAACGTACTTAAATATTTGACTACATGTTATGCCCTTCCTAACAAATAAACATTTAACAATAATATAAAAAATAACTATTTGTACTGTTCGCATTTATTTAAACTAATAGGTGTTTATTATGCTATTTATCATTTTAAATCCGGTTTAATATTAATGTTAAATATTTTAATACTATTAAAATGAATACAATAATCAAATAAAAAATAATGAAAACTTTAATGAAACTACTTTCAAACGAAATTAATGTAGCTATAAAAATATAAGTACAAGTAATAAAATTTTGATAAATTGATAAATAGGATAGATTTATAAAAATAATTTTATTTCAATGAACAGTTTATTTTCTGATATTAATAAAACATTCAAAACTTATATAATGTAAAAAATTATAACAAACTTATTTTGAATAATATTGAGATAAATTAATAAATATAACATCGCTCTTTTTTTGAAAAATAAAAATAAAAATTACAATACATAAGGAGTGGTTTGCCATGTTAAATGTATATAAACATGACGATAAATAACATACACGTACAAATTATACGTATAATAAATAGTTAATATTTTAAAGAATATCGAGTTTTAGTCTGCTTTTAATTTTTAAAACCCACATTTTAATCGACTTAAAAGAGATGCTTGTAGTTGCATAATAAATAGTTTTCCCGCATTAATTGAAAAAAGTAAAAATGTTAAATCTTTCAT